CCACTTGTTTACACCTATGCATTCCTGATCCCTTGGTATGCCATTTGGAATGGTAGGCCAAGTCTAGGCCAAGCAAGATGCTGTGCGGTATGTAGATTAGGTCAAGATACTCCACCTCTCTGGTCTGGTTGATAACATCGTTCCAACAGTTTGTTTTGCTTTCATTTCGTATTTCTTAGCTTAGGCTCTACTTCCTTACCCTTTTGTAATTGTTTATTTGAAGATGGTGGCTGTCCTGGATTAGTCTTATAGGTCAAGCAACAGGCATCGTATGGTCCAGGAGGCTGTATGGATATTGAACTGAAAAGAAAGCACACATGTCAGGGTTACTTGACAACGGAATATGCACATGTCTACGGAGAAAGATCATTGAGGGAGAAACTGACGTAGTGTACAATCCGAAGGCTTGGTGAGATACATGATTTAGTGCAGACGAAAGTCTATATCAGACAGTAGGGAAAAGAACATACCGATAGGAACAAAGACAGATTCACAAGAGACTCAGGCGCATCCCAATTACCCTCATCTGGCAAGTATCATAAATAATGATAGAGATCAATAGGCAGGCAGAGTCTTGAACCATTCGGCAAAAAGGTGAAGTCTGCTCTCGAACTCAGACGCATCTTCCCCCAGCCACCCCCAAGCTCCTGCGTGTTCAAGTCATTTAGGTCATTTCGGTCCCATTGAACCAACCCCTTGCCGTTGGGGTTACCGGTCTTGATGAAATTCACCCAGTATGCATTGATGGTAGCGGCGATATGGTAATCCTCCTCGGTCCAGGGATAGGTGTCCACACCATACAAATTATTCCCAACACGTAAGGAATCTCGGATATGTGGAAGGCACCCTGACTTTGGCCCGGAGGAGCGTGATCCCAAAGATAGGTCCAAACGGGACTCTTAGCCGATTCACGCCACTGGTTAGCCCAGCGCCAGGCTCCTGTCTTGGATCGCTCGGTATACTGCAGATTCTGGGCGGCGGAGGCTTCTGCGCTGGTGGTCGCGGGGTAAAGATCAAGAAATTCCTTTGCAAACTTTGCACCAAAGGTCGAATTCAGATTCTTCAGGTACTGGGACACAGTGATGTTCAGGCCATAAACAGCGTCATTCTCGTCCCTTGCACTTCCCGTGATGATAGGAACGTCGCTCTGCTCACTCCCTCGCGCCCATCCTTCAATTATAATCAAATCCACATAATTCCGAACCCGTTATTGAACGTCCGATACACTCTAGTATATTTAGGGAGTGGAAACCTTAATTTCTAAGCCCAAAAAAGCCAAGTTTCATCAGTGGGCCCTTTCTTACAGAGTATATCCGTACCTTTCTGCCTACCCACCGGCACAGCTTGTTATCTGATTTCGTTGCATTCGGGTCCCCTATCGTGCGACATGCAGACACCTAATTCCGAGGAATGGCCGCAGGTCTTCAGTGTTCCAGACTAAACCGATGCAGTAACTACGACGGGGGAGGCCTGCACTCAACAGCCTTCTCCGCCGGGAATCCACCAACCACTTACCACTTATTTCCGACGGAACTACGGAGTATCTGCTCATTGAGTTGCTCATCAGGCTGCGATATGGGATTGAGCAACTATTCTTTTGGAAGAAAAGTCAACCAAGGCTCGAATAGACTTGTTTCTCAAAATGAGCAAGAGATATTTCCGAGAGATAATCTCGCAGGTCTTGGTGAGAGGCGCAATACGGTTTAGCCCGGGCTAGGCAGCTAGCCAAGAGAGGATACAAACCCTCCAGGTTATCGCCTTCTGTTCCGTTCTTTGCTCTTTACTTTTCGCACATTTATTCTCTCGTTCCTTTCCCCTTCTTTCTTTTCTCTTGATTCTCTTTTTTGTTTCATTTTCTGTCGTTCATTTTCTGTCGTTTAGTTTCTGTCGTTTAGTTTCTCTCGTTCCTTATCAATCGTTCTATTTCATTCTTTCCTTGTTAAGAAACAATTCCCAGCCCTTCAGAAACTCCATGCATCGACTTCGTATTGAATCACTTCTTGTGGTCACGATCCTAGTGATCCTCCTCTTTTTGTCCAGCGTGACAGACGCCATGGCTACCCCGATGTCAACCTCGGAAATTCATCATGGACCATTGAACATACGCGGGCAGGACAGTTACGAAGTCTATTACCGTCGTAGCTTGGCCACTGACGCCAAGCGAGCTCGCTATCCCGGATTTCACCCCAGCTCGTCCATTCTGAAAGCCGGAAGTATTCGCCGGGAAGGAGCCAAGGCCCTGCCATGTGATATCCTCTTCGAGCAGGACGTACCCATCAAAATGCGCGACGGCACGGTCATCTACACTGACGTCTTTCGTCCCGTGGGAAATGAGTCGGTACCGGCCATTATCGCGTGGAGTCCTTACGGTAAGCAAATCGGTGGCCGGTGGTTGGACGATATGTCCAGTCATTCGGGCATCCCACTCTCCCATGTCTCGGAGCTGCAGAAATTTGAAGGCCCCGATCCGGCATACTGGGTATCCCATGGATATGCGATCGTGAACCCGGACCCCCGAGGGGCCTACTCGTCGGAAGGGGAAATCACTTTCTTTGGTAGCCAGCTGGCAGAGGACGGCTACGATGTGGTAGAAGCCATCGCAAACAAGGCCTGGTCCACGGGAAAGGTGGCATTTAGTGGAAACTCCTGGCTAGCCATCTCGCAGTGGTTTGTGGCCGCCGAGAGACCGCCTCATCTGGCGGTTATTGCTCCCTAGGAGGGCCTGGTCGACCTCTATCGCGACTTGGCGCTACGTGGCGGCATTCCGTCTGTCGGATGTCTGGAGGGCATGATCACTACGTCCGCCGGAAATAAGTACGTAAAAGATGTTCCTCGCATGGCTCTCACGGAAACCTCTCTCAACAAGTACTGTGAGGATAAAATCGCCCACGTCGAGAACATCACGATTCCCGCCTACGTCGTTGCGAGCTATACCAATATGCTTCATACGGCGGGTACCTTCGATGCCTTTAATCGGTTGGGCTTGTCAGAAAAATGGCTCCGCGTGCACAACAGCTCTAAATGGCCAGATTACTATGAGCCATGTCATGTGGAAGAGCTGCATTCTTTCTTCGATTGTTTCTTGAATATGAAGAGCAACAATTGGAGGGAAACCCCCCGAGTCCGCCTCTCGATCCTAAACCCTGGCGGAAATGGCACGATAAACCGCCCTGAGTCCCAGTGGCCGCCGGCGACCACGACTCCAGAGAGACTCTACTTGCATTCAGATGCGACTTTGCATGCCAAGCCCCAGAATACCTCGGACTTCCTCGCCTATACCGTGAATGGAACTGGATCGGTGCAGTTGATATACACCGTTCCAAACGACATGGAAATTATCGGCAATATGCGTGTGCACCTATGGGTGGAAGCTTCGGGATCTAACGACGACATGGATCTTAGTGTTTCGGTTCAAAAGTTGCAGTCCGATGGAAAAGCATTCACCTCCAATGATGACGGGGAGAGATGCTCGCCCTCTCCATCTCTGCCCAGAGGGCGTCGTCCTCCATGACTGACTTGAATTTCGGCACTGCAAATATCACCATTCCAAAGCATCATGGCACTTGTACGGACATTCACAATGTTCCCTTGATAACCTCAGGCGGGGACAGGAGTTCCAATCCGTCATACGTCAATGAGCAGCGCACTCGAGCCCCTTCTAGTCCAAACAGGGGTTCTCATATCTTTCACATTGGTGGCCAGTACGACAGCTACTTGCTCATGCCAGTCGACAGGACCCACGTCAGTACTTCTGACTCCACGAGTTGTTCGTCTGGTCTTGCTTGAATTTGTATTCATCTTGTGGTTTCTTCTTCACATCTGAAGTTCGCGTTGCATATCCGATAAATAGTCTACTTATCTTTATTTTTCATCGTCTTTTTCGGTCCATTGAACGCTTATATTCTATCTTTATTTATTTTCTCAATTAATTGGTCCTTCATTCAGAATTATTTTGAGCAGAAAGAAAGCTTTCAACTCAACAGGGGTTATTATGAACATGTGCACTTATACAGTCAACATTCTCAAGAACCGATTTCCTAGCTCGTCTGCAGCCAATGGATTCCCACCCGTTAACAACTCTCTATGAAGTGTCACACCACCTATAACCTCTTTCGCTCCTTCGGCCATATTTGCGCCCTCATTGCGTAAGGCCGATTCAACTTTCTCAACCTCTCCACCCCACATCGTCTCCATCATTTTCTCCTCGGCATCGCTCCAGGATGTTATATTATACCCCTTATACACAAACGACCCATCGCCTGCCTTCTTCGTACTCAACAACGCATACGGCCCATGACAAATCGCCGCAGTGGGTTTGTTCTCCTTATTGAAATATCGCAATATCCGTCCCAGCTCAGCATCCCCTCCTAGATCGCTCAGCGGTGCATGTCCCCCAGGGATAAACAGCCCTGCAAAAGTAGCTAATTCGTCATTACTGATGGAATTGAATGGCCGAGGACGACTGAATCCATTTTCTTGCTTCATGCGCTCGATAAGCTCTGTCTCGCGTCGTCGCTCATAGAAGTTCCCTGCAAATGCGAGGAGAGATTCACTGTTTGGATCCGGAGCCGGCTCTTGGCCCTTTGGCGAAGCGAAAGTGACTTCGTGTCCGGCGTCGAGGAATTTCTGGAGCGGTTTGACCAGTTCCATTAAGAAGAATCCGGATGGCTGGTCGACTGTTTTCCCGGCCTCTGGGCCGCTGGTCTTTTTGATGGGGAAGGAGTGGGCGTCGCTGAGGATGATGAGGACTTTTTTCGGAGGCATTGCGTGGTAATCGAAATTTCGATATGTTCAGAAACCTCGTTTCTTATATCTATATGTTTTAGAGGATAAGGCTTCTTAAAGTGAGAATGACTCTATTCAGAACGTACAATAACCTTGTGTTGTCGAGTTTGGTGTTAACCGGCCTGAGAAGAATTGTCTTTGCCTTTTATTGGAAGTATTCAAATTTCGCAATGATGACAATTTGGAGGCTCTCTTTTATAGTTATGGTATAGACGTTGGGTGAGGCCATCATAACATCACAATGACGTAGCAATTTAGAACCCATTTTTCCCTGGGAAGTCGAATAGATCCAAACGTCATTCTGACTTAGAATATCTTATTCGATACTCTCAGATCAAGTTCCATGATCGGGAAGGTCATTTGCTTCGAAGCTCTACGAAAATAACACTTTTGAAACAGGCCGAAATATAGGACATATTTCCAGATGTGGGATTAGGTGTGCCGAGTACAGCTCCCACCTATTGCCACGGTGCTAAGCCAGAATGGGGAATCCACTAACCTGAAATGGAGATTTCATGCCTGATATTCTAGTTTGCAGCCTATAGCCTTGAAAGCTGCGAACAGTAAAGTAGTTGCATATTTGCCAGGTCTTCTTGCAGTCTCCTCTTTGTTTTTACTGATACCTCCGTGGAGTTCCAATAATTCATAGTTAGCTTTGATTTTCTTTATTCCATGTCTTGGGTAACTGTTTTCTTTGATATCTCCATGATCGTCCATGGAGATGCCTCATCAATGTTGCCGACCTGATTTTTGCTGATAGTTTACGCTATGACTTCCATGACCCTCATTCAGCTGTAAAGTTTGACTGGAGTTTTCCATTCGCCTGGTAAACACTGCCCGGCTAGCTCAATCTATCAGTTACCCTGCGATAACTCCGTTCGCTCTAAACTCTACTAAATAAACATCTAGTCTTATGTTAAGGTCGCAATGTACCGGAGAGGGAAGGAAGATAGTTTGGAACAACACAGACACTTGCTTCCCAAGTCGTGATGATCTCAACATCCGCTTACACTGCGTACAGTATTGGATGGCAATGCGCGGACGAGGACCAGGAACTCCCCACCGAGATGATGGACGCGATTGTTGCGTACCTGGAAAACAGTGGGCTTGTACCTCTCTTATCGTGTGGCTCTGCGCTATGGAGCTATGCGTTATCTGAACTCGGCCGACGCAAGAACGGAAGGCGTCGGTCACCCGCAGACAAATTGGCCGGATTCCCCGAGAGACCATTTCCACCCTCAACGGTGATTTGGCCTCTTAAAATCAGTCATCTATTGGGGCAAAACATATAAACTAGCCCGGCTAGCTCAATCGGTAGAGCATACGACTTCTACTTTGGGTGGTTATCCACCGAAAAAGTGACAGGTCCGTGGGAGGCCTGCACGCTGTGGATGGTGATCGTAAGGCTGCGGGTGATCCCCGCTTTCGGCTATTCTTTTTTGAAATTTCATCACCGCCTTTTGGACCGCCTACTGTAAGTAAGCTGTTCTATAAGCCTTCTGCTGGCAGAATCAATGAAAATCAAATGTTATTTTTTTGTTGCAGAGCGGCCCGCCGCCGTAGGGAACATCGCTAGTACAAGAATATCTACCACCCGACCCCAGTTATATCAAGCCAACCCACGCCACAGCACAGATCTCGGCCATAAGGAGGGACAGGATCTAACGAACATCTTTTATACAAACGCTGTAGTTCGAAATTTTATTCCAAAATTATGTACTCTATTTATGTATATAATTTAAGCTTAGATACGTCCCCAGTACCTAATGGGAGGTCATAGGGCCGGGTCTCCCCCTAAGAGCACCTTAGTCCGTCAGACGTTAATCACTACTACTACTACTACTACTACCTATCCAGTCATGTATATTCTAGTCGCAGAGGGTTTTTTTTTCTTTGTCCTAATTGTTACGGAAATCTCCATCTCTGGTACCTCGGTATTGCAGTCTTTGTTTTCGTTGTGTCTTATAAAAGCCCCGGCTCCCTCCATGGATATAGGCTTCAAACCATTCAAACCCAAAATGGATTCACCTACTACTCCCAAGCCCAAAATTGGGCAAGCTGCGCAAGCAGGATACCGAGAGATCTGGCATCCAAAAACCAGGAGTGCTGGGCTAGGCTGGATGGAGCGACCCGAGGTCAGGTATCTCTACATGTATTTTGACATCCGCGACTTTGTTCTCCAAAGTATGAGTGCCACCGCTGAAGAAGTGACTTTCCTTGTCCTTCGTCGTCTGGTTCCTGAACGGGCGGGAGAGGTGGATCGGAAACTTTCCTACCCGTCTATGAAGGAATTGAACAGTCCTCCGCCTGAAGGGTTCCAGCGTATCTCTATGAGGTATCTGATGACTGATATTCCTCAAGAACTTGAGACCAGCAGAGAGGATATTATTCCAGCGCTTCGACGGATCAGAGAACATTTGAAAAAGCTTAAGAAGGTTCCGGGACCATTCCGCCCATTCGAGCTCATGGATCCAGACTTGTTTCGTCAGACGGTGTGGTTGAAGTTCGACTTTCTTTCACCTCAGCGTGAATCGAGTCCCAATCTTGAACCGGATGCCGCTGATTCGCTTACGAATAGCTATTCAGATTTGTCGGAGGTACCTAATTTTGAACTTTCTGATTGCAGTTCGTTTCAAGGACATGATGAAGAGCTATTCCGCCCGAAGGACAGGATGAAGAGCTTTTCCGCCCGAGAAGCGGAGCTCCTATTGCAGAAACCGAGATCCTTTTAACTTGATGATTATTGTATCTATTAATATGATAACTTTCCTGTTTAAGTTAATCTTCAACGTACTGTAACCATATTGTACTGTAAGCATATTTTTTATCGTTGGGTGCTAGATAAACTTTACTTATAACTGTGGACTCTACACCAGGTGCACTGATACTTTCATTTTTCATTTAGGTATAAGAGTCTGGCTATGATTACGCTTCAATCCATACTAATTTTCTTTATACTCCGCATTGCCTTCAAGTATGTGGTTAATATTATTGCGTTGATCTTTTTGCAAATACAGCTTTCTAATGACATTTTTATTGTATTGGGATAAGTTAGGTCGTAGACCGCAAAACAAAGACCAGGTTTCTATTCAGGTGAAATTAGATATGTATTTAGCCATAATCTATAATACTTTGATGAATTATCAGTCGATATTAAGATCATTTTCCTGATCAAAGTCATGTTCACCTGTATGGATAGATGGCCTTTGTTGGCAGAAAAGTCCGGAATCTTCCTGAGGGTTACTCATACTCTTGTCTTCGTTTTCTTTTCCAGCACGCCAACACAAAGTAATTCATATGATGGCGACGGAATATCTAAAACCCTCTTTTTTTGATTTTGAGGGCATTGAATATATCAGTCGGGCTTTTACAATCTATCGTTTCCTTCAATAGGCTTGCTTTGAGAAGGTGAAATAATCTTTGTTCATAAAATGGTAGGAAAAGAATATCATTGTTTCCTTTCCTTGTTACCCCTCGCACTCCAACAATGAACTGTTCGAACGTGTGGTATTCATAGTTTGTGCTCGTAGTTTGTTTTCATAGTTTGACTCTTCATATATATAGGATACTGTCGACCTTCTCGCATTGTGTTTTCAAGGACTCATCTTTATCATCAAACTATAAATAGGATGTTCAACCCCTGCATCCTAACACATCGAACCAACCCAATCATCAACATCTATTCGACAATTCCTTCACACAAATCCATATATCCCTTCAAAACGAATTCTTAGCCCCTACTTCAAGATGTCGGATCTTGACCCCTACAAGCCTATCGATGCGCCCATCGACGGCCCACCTCTCCCCTTTATCTACCGCAACAGCTGGGAGGTCATGCTGATCATCGACATCAGCGACTGGTCAATGGAAGAAACTATTGGAACTATCTGCATGAAACTCTGCGACAAGCTAGAGACGCACCGGCGGCTAGAGCAAGGGAAAGATGCGCTGGGAGAGATTTACAACGGCCGCACGCGCCTGGCCTTGACCTTCCATCTGAGCGAACTTCCTGCTCCCCGGCAGTACACCAACCCTGACGCAGTCTATAACCGAATTGTTTCTTATTTGCAAACTTTCTACAATCGTCATGATCGGTTCCAGAAACAAGTACGGGTGTTGAAGAAGTGGCGGTTTATTGACACCGTCGCTTTTGGGATTTATGAGATCCCGAAGGAGATTGACAAGATGCTGTGTAAGAAGGAGGGGTGCAGTGGATGCGAGTTATGCAGTTAGCTCTTCTTTGCAGGGGGGCTCGTTATTCGTTGGAATCGTTACTATAGACGGGATATATGGATCGAACAACAATCAAATTTCAAAACAACTTTTTTGTGCTACAATTTCGCGTAGGTTACCATGTCGTAGACCTGGTTTTATAGATACTACCTTTCCATGGAGTGTCATCAAACCTCTATTCACAGTTTTTTTATTACATAGAACTCAGCAATATATCCCAGCATCTCTCCTACACACTCCTAATACGAAAACTTAAATCAGATTCCTAAAATCTCATCCCACAGCCCTTCTTAAAATTTATATACCTGGTCATTCTTGAATCCCAACTTTCCCAAAATGCCCTCCCCCGATATCCTCGACCCCACCAACGCCTCCTCCATCCCCGACGGCCCACAAACAAACACCTTCGTATTCCTCCCCCTTCCTTCCCTCGTCACCTCGCGCAACAACTCCTCCGTCACACGACCCTTCCTCAATGACGAACCCTCCTCCCCGTGAGTAACTGTATACACAAAATCAAACCTCCCCGGAAACCGCCTCTTAAAGTCCTCCAGCTCCTCCCTCAACAACAGGTCCTGTTCTGTATTGACCCCGAACACAAGGTTTACTTTCGTCTTGTCGTTCGGGTTCTTTAATATTCCTTGGAGAAGCTGGTAGAGCGGCGTGATTCCCGCTCCGCCGGCGATTAGGTATACTTGGGAGAACTGGTTCGGTTTCCAGGGAAAGCCTCGCAGTGGAGCTAAGAATGTGAGGGTATCTCCTGGTACGAGGGAGTGGAGGTGCGTGCTTGCTTTGCCGTTGGGGTATTGTTTGACGAGGAGTTCGAGGGAGCCCTTTTGGTCTGGATATTGTTTCCATTGTTAGTTTGGTGGTGGGTCAGATGGTGGAAGAAGATGGATTCTACCTACCTAGATCGCTGATAGGCGTGTATGGTCTTAGGACAGGAAGCCATCTGCCCTGGGGGCGAGAGATAGTGAGAAGCGCCGCTGATGGGGATATGATTGTTAATTTGTGCGGGTTTAGTCACCATGAGAAAGGATGGTTTGTTTCTTACAGGTAAGAGATAATCCGCTCCTAGCATTTTTATCCGGGAATTCGAACACCAGGCGCTTCGTGTTATGGTTCACGGCCTTGACGCTCTGGAGGCGCAGCGTGGTAGGGCCGAAGCCCGAGAAGACCATTGATGGCTCTGTAGATTCGGCCTGGGCTGTCGGGAAGGACGATCGCACGCTGTAGATCCCAATACCGAGGACTGCGAATCCAGAGGCAACGGCGGCGGTGGTTTTCAGGGACTTTGGAAAGAAACGGATTAAAGGCATATTGGGTTGAATACGAACTAATGCAAGGATTTATCGCAGCTTCTTGAATCTGGGTGCAGTGATATTTATGTCCAGTCTACAGATTCAGCCAAAACCCGCAAAATCCGACAGGGTCCTCCGGCCCCACAGGGCTCTCGGACCCGACGGGGTTCACGGGCCCGACAGTAGGGGCATCTATTCCTAAGGGGCCGTAACGCAGTGCAGTCCTACATTTTAAATATCGCATAGAGAACTATGGTTGGGTTTTGTGTAATGAGTTAACGCAAATCCTGCTATGAACAAGCTATGATAGAATGCACCTATCCTCCCCAGTCACAGGACAACCGTACCTATGAGATCCCTCAAAAGACAAATGCAATGGATCAACACGCATGAATCAATCCCAGCGCTCCTGGCTTCATGTTCGGTCTCAATCCATCCAAGGCTTCATTCTCGAAGTCATTCTTATCCGCCCCGTTATTCTCTATAAGAATAGCCCGATAGCGCTCGACGGTCTCTGGCGGCAATCCAACCTCTTTCGCCAACTTCTCGATACTGTTTTGGCTGCCAAAAGTCTCTCCTGCACAGAACTCAAATATCCTGGCGATTTCCTCTTGGTTGTGTTTCTCATCCTCCACATCTACGGTACCTTGGATCACTGCCTCGGTAAGCATACGTTTGACTTGAGTGGGCTAGGTGTGATAAACATACCGGGTTGAAAGATGTGGAAAGCGCGATCAAAGCTTCCCTCGGCCGGATCATTCAACACGGACTCCTCGCGACTAGATATTTGCTTTCGAGTGCTGGCGACAATGAGTAAGAACCTGGCATAACTTTCAGCGATCTTTTTCGAATGCCAGTCTGCCGCGACGGCCTGATCACAGTTCCCTCGTTCCGCTGCGCAGATGGTCACCGCGGCAGATAGAGCCCCTACTAGGGCCATGTGTACCCCGGACGAGAAGAGCGGGTCGATGAAGCATCCTGCGTCGCCGACGATTCGCAGGTATGGGCTGGCATATGTTGTGGCATTATACGACCAGTCAGCCGTGGAATGCAGGTCTGAAACTAATTCCGCTCTCTGAAGGAGATCCCTGATTCCTGGGGTATTCTCAATGGAATCGATATAGATCTGTGAAGGGGATAAACCGCGTTCTCGTTTCTTGGCCACTACAATTTCTTGTTTCATGACTACCCCGATGGACATCATATCCTTCAATGGGATTGCCCAGATCCAGCCACTGCCGTCTGTGTTTGTTAGCTTTGCTTTCACGAGAATAGAGATGAGCGAACCATTGATGGCCTCGAAATATGGGTCGTTTTCCATATGCGTACTCTCTCCAAACACGCCACACTTTTCCCAGTATCCCCATGTTGCGGCGTCTTTTAATGCCGTGTTCATCTTCCGATTCCTCATGTACTTTGTACTCACAATCCCTGCCCGCCCTGTGGCATCAATCAGATACTTATATCGAATGGCTCCACAGTCTTCCTCCGAAGCCCACGTTGCAGACACCGGTCGCCCCAGACTATGGCTGGTATTATCAAGAACCGACTGCGTCGAGTTGTCTGTGGCTCCAATGGGCGCAAATTGCAGGGATGTGACTCGAACCGGGGTGAAGACCTTGGCACCACACTTGACCGCATGATTTAGCATGAGATCGTCGGATTCCGATCGCAGGAAGTTCCACGTATAGTTCTCAGGACCACCGGCACCGATGAAGTCCGTGTCTTTGCACGTCAGCCTTCGCATTTCATCTCGTGAAGAGAACGCAAGAACCTACACGCTATTGGTTTCGAGTTGAGCTTGAACGCGCCTCCATTCTATGATCGTTAGGGCTGTTACTTGTTGATGACCTCGTACGAGAACGACAAAGATGTCTACCTTCTTGGTAAACCCATGCTCTTTGAACTTGGTGTCCAAATCAATGTATCGAAAGAAATGGCGGATGGAAGGAAGCATACTTTCACCGACGTGGAATCTGGCGATTTAATCCATCTGAGTTCAGACATAACAACCCTCAACCCAAGGAGTCAGAGACAGGGAGCAGTCACATACCGCGGAAACTCGTCAGATTCCAACAAAACCGTGTTCAGCCCCTCTCGGGCCAGCAGCGACGCTGCATAGGACCCCCCAGGTCCTCCGCCGACTACTAATACCGTGCATTCTGCCGGGATTGGCATTCTGGGGATATGGTGGAATGGTAGTTTTGGGGGGGATGGGGGGGGGGGGTTAACAGAGCTGCGTCTTTATACGACGGGATGGCCCACTTACCACATGTAACGGTCCTACTCTATTCGGGCTGTTGCTTTTCGACAATTGCTTTTTCTGGTTCGCCTTGTTCGGATGATCCCCGGTTGTCTGGTCGTTTGATCACATGGCGTTGCTGGAGCCTTGTTTTCGTGGCAATCGGCCGGTCTGGCGAACCCTAATTGGACTTCCTCATGCGGTAGCTCGCTCACTACTTAGGTTAGCTTAAACGTATGCTCCCGTATGGTGATCGGTGTTGCGTGCTTCGAGGGTCTAGAGCGGAGGGGTTTGATCTGCGGGGATGCGAAGCATTCAGTCAGCCGGAACCTATCAGCCAAACAGAGTAAGAGAAAGATATTTCCGGATCGGTTCTCTTGGTATAGCACTCTGTGCAAAATACCTGATTTATACTGTTTTTCACATGCTTCAATAATTCAAAGTCACAGCCTGGGTATCTCATTTCCATCAAGTTCATAAGATATTGGTCGAATCATTTAGTAATATCCAATACCGACCCGACCACATCTTTACTTCGCTCCGTTTATTCCAATATCTCTGGTTTGCCCAAACTAATCCAGTATCCTTTCACACACTCTCTCACAACCAGAAGGAAATATCTACCTGTGCGGACATTTAATTGAGAAGCCCGACAGGACTAAAACGCCCTTGACTTGTAGAACCACAAATCGGGACAACTGGAGATCATGCTCCTTACAAGCTTCATTACAAGGTTGATTTGCTATTGGATATTTAACTTTCTCAATGGGGAGAAAGTGGTCATGTTATTTTTAGGCCGAAATTAGTGCGATGAACACTGGATGGTGATGGTGGGGAGATGGTGGTTGTTGTTTTCTTGTAGGAACTGTTATGATTATATATTGTGGGGAAAACGTCTCAGTCGCTGAGTTGTGAGCAACCCACCCTCAGACATTTTTTTTTTCAGCAACAGCAGTAACAGAAGAGTAGCATTCGGAGATTAGATAGATGGTGATGGAGGTGGGGGGGGAAGAAAAAACTTAAAAAAATCCCATGGTCTGAGCTGGGGAAAATAAGCGGGCGGGGCCGATGGGCAATAAAAGCAAAACAAAAAATAAGAAACATTCCGACACGGGGAATCGAACCCCGAGCTGCCGTGTGAGAGACGGCGATGTTAACCATTACACCATATCGGATAGTTGTGTAAAGTTACGATCAAACTTGTGCTACTGAATCATGGTTCTTCCAGGGAGGCACTTCTTGTCCCTCTTATTGCCCCTTCAACTTCTCGCTGTATATCGCCCGTCCGCTAGGTATTCCTTTCTCCTCATCCTTATCCGTCCTCTACAGGTAAGATATTTTTGCTATTAATCCAGACTACCCTCGCTATTCCTGGCATAGCTTATCAAATCTGCAATCTCTCGAATGAATCTGTGCTATTTTCGCTCGACCAGCCCTATTTTCTTTTAGTTTTTACTATTCTTCACCAGATAAGACTATTTTGCACTTAATCTGTTACGCCAAGCTACAGATCTGTTGCTTTACATAAAAATCAGTCAGTCTATTCTTAAAATATTGCAAATCTAGATACATTCATTATACGCTCTTTCAGGACAAATATTTCTGCACCGCAGGGCTCCGTATCTGCCTTGAAGATGCTCCGTACAAAAAAGGCCTTATTACCGGCTTTGGCTGATAGATATATATTATTTTGGAATTGAAAAAATTTAGAACCCAAATTCTTAATTCACGCATTATTTCTCGCAGAATGCAACGACCTCAAAAATAGGCAATGGGGGTATAATATAAATGCACTTCTTCAGTTTGTGCTTTTTAAGTATTTCTTCTATAAACATACAATTACGGAGTTTGGTCATTGACTGTCAAGTGTTCTGGGAAAAAAACAAACCTGCCCGATTTGTAGTGCGATCTGTTCCTTGTTGCGTCGGTGTTTGCCTAGAGGGAAATGGATCAACGTTAGAGAGTTCTAAAAGCATATTTTGCGGGAGTGTCCGGAGCTCACACCTTTAAATGTTCTGAAATCGCAGCATTTATGGGTGCTTCACAGGCATCTGTTGGGAAGAATCGTGCAAATGTTGAACGCCTAGGCTTCAACAAAGGCTTGGCGATGGGACACGCTTCATCTCAAGCTTGTTTAGCCCCAGATCTCACGATGGAAGATGTCAATGAAATGACTGGTTGATCGGATACAGACATTGGTGTCGCCCGTGAGGCACGCCGTCTGAACAGTAGCTGAAGTTCGTTGCCGTGTTGTCGTCAGGCCTTCCTCCCAAACGAAGAGGCAAAAACAACTGAAAGTCCGATGGGTCGAGGCCAAAGGAACCAAGGCGCGATATTAAGGTGCGTCTAGAGAGACAAATGCTGGAAGCAACGAAACGCTCTATTTAATGATGTTCTCTAAAACCCTCAGGGAGGGTGAAATCACAGAAGATTATATTCGCCTCCCCTTTATGCAATTCGGTGACCTGCGCGAATATCTTCAACGCTACAACCAGGAAATTCAACTGGAAACTCGCGAAAGATGGATTACCATGGCGGTCAGTGCTATCGCCCTAGTCCATCGCTGTGGAGTAATCCACGCCGATATAAGCGCGCGAAATTTCCTCGTCGCCGACGATTTGTCAATCAAGCTCTGCGACTTCTCTGGGTCAGGAGTTGGGACAGAAGCTTCCTTGGTGCAAGAAGAAGACAGGTATCGAATAGATCCTGATTCCCCTGGGTCTATTAAAACAGAAATCTTTGCATTGGGTTGCCTTGTGTTCGAAACCATGACTGGCTTACGACCATACAACGAAGTAAACGATGAGAACTACGAGTGTATCGTAAGACGCTTCTCACTTGGCCAATTTCCTTGCCTTGATGGTGTTCCATTCGGAGAAATTATACACAAATGCTGGACGTCGCAGTACACCGACGTGGAACAATTGAGAGATGATTTAAAAACACGAAAGATGACTAGACGGGCTTTCTTGTCGCTTTTCATTTGGAAGTCTTCTTTGGAACACCGGACAAACGAAAAATAATGACTAGAGGCTTTTCATTGGTCGCGTCAACTTTTTTTATCGTTGGAATTGGGGGAGACCTTCTTTCATGGAACCGGATACGAGGACATCGGAAGATATAGATGGCAAGCTCGAATGGTCTTTTGGAGGCTGTCTTGGAACTCCTTCGGGTCCTCGAAAGAATTGAGCTTAGCTTACCGATGGTGGGTTTCTCATCATTAAGCGTCCTCCTCTCATGTTCATCCATCGGATCCCCGCTTACAGTAGCTAGGTGTTTAAATCTTAGAAAAGCCAGTGAAAGATCAGTTGTCTTTCTCTAGCAAGACCCAAAAGAGGTTCAAAAAGATAGAAAGGTAGCAAATATTGTGGCACTTTTTTCTGGACAACAAGAGAGCCACGCTTTTCTCAACTGTCATGCTCTTCGTGATAAAATTGAGCGCTATATTTTCCCTGGCAAGCCTGCCTTTATTTATGGCTACGCTTTCCTTCACATCTTAATGGCCAAGCTTTTTCCAATTAGCATCCTTCCCTTCCGTTGCAACGAGGAACCCCCGGCAGGCTATAACCAACAAACCTGAACACGCACTATCCGCAAAGCTCCCATCATAGCTTCAAATACCTCCGCAACGCATGTTTTCTTCCCTCCTCCTGTCAAATAAGCTCTTGCTCATCAACACCAACCGTTTCCTTCCCAAAATGTTCCCCAGGGTTGAAAAAAACATAAATCCCCATCGAAAGCACCATCGGCAGGGCATCCAACGCGAGAACAAACCGTTCATTCGTAATCAGATACCCCCTCCATCCCTCCGTCAACTCAATCGACCGATACAAATTCCGCATGATCATCATCGCCGTGGAGAAGACGGTAGCGCCAGCCACGTAGAATAACCGGGGGTTTGCACGTAGCTCGGACCCACCGCGGTAGATCACGATTCCGAGAAGAAATGAGAAGATCACGGCGGCGGCTAGTTGGGTGATGATCCCTACTACCATGATGGTTGTGCCTGTTTGTATCGAGATCCCGGTGCTGTATGCGGAGCCGGCTAGACCGCCGCCGACGGCTTGGGTGATGAGACAGACGGAGTCGATGATGAAGCATATGAATAGGTAGGTTTTGGGTGGGAAGGGGGATACGTGTCGACCGATGTCGCGGATTAGAACCCAGAGAGTGACGTAGATTCCTGCTTGGGTCTATGAGGGGCCTGTGTTTTCTTTTTGTCAGCGCTGTAGGTTTGGAGGTAGATGGATAAATGGGTTGAATGAGGTGGTCATACCCATGATCAATGTTGCCGTTTGCATGAGAAAACATGTTCGGGAGTATGGACACTGGTGGCTGATGGTCCGTCCGACCCAGCCGATGATCTCGAGTATCGCGCCGATGATGAACAGAACAGTCCAGAAGGCTCGAGTGCGTAACACATGGATTGCTTGTCCGACAGCTATGGCCGTGAATAGGAGAGTGAATGCAATGCCCCATCCCAGGCTTGGTTGATAGCCGTAATTCCCTGTGCTGAGTCTACGGTCGTACGGTGTACAGGCGGGGATGTCGGGGAGTTGGTACTCGGACATGATGGTAGCGAGGAATCATATGAGAATGAACTACTTTGTCGAACATGATGTTGTTGGGCTAGGTAGCAATATATATACCTTTTTCGCCAGACTGGCATCTAGAATGGTGTTCGTGATGGCTGTGCTGGGGCTGTTTAGTTGGCTCCTTGATCCTGAAACGGAGCAGTTCTTGAGCCAATTAGTACTTGGAAAGAGACAACATCAACATATCTACTTGACAGAGGTAGGGGATTCCCCGAGATAATCGAGAGGATTGAATCCCTGTATAGTTCCCAGACACGCCTCTGCTTGGATTGGAGCTGGGAAACATGAGTGGATAGAAGAGGAATCTAGATGTTGGGTGCCTATATCTACGCCATTCCCGAATAGGCAACCATCGTACTCGCGAGGCCGCTGTGGGGCCATAATATGCAAGCTTATACCTAAGCTAAGCAAATCAGCGCCCCTGGCGTCACAAGAGTAAATCGGCACATGTTCACTCATGATGCAGCTGCGCTAAGGGGCTACAACTTTCAGGTGTACGGTACTGAGTGGGCTCATTCTGGCTCGTGCATTGATCACGTCGGATAGAGGCAACTTAGCCAAGCTGTCCTGCATATGCTAACCCAAACGATCAGTTAGTAGGTATAGGCAGTTTGAGGTGGGCAAGAACAAGGGAGAACGTTGTTGCCTGACTCTGATGTAGGCAGCCATTTGGATGTAGTTGGGCAACCCACCATTTTACACGGATAATTGTATGTCTGGAGCGTCAGGGCCCAGAATGACTCGAATCATGTCATTCCCATGCGACATAAATACCACGTGATCGCCCTTTGTTCTCCTTTAAATTGACTATATATGCCCGCTCGATCTCTACACTGTTCTACACCATCAAGGATATCTCATCTTGATAGTATATCATGTCCCTCTTGAACGTTGCCATAATCGGGGCCGGCCCTGCCGGCTGCCTTCTCGCGCGCCTCCTTCATCTGAACGACATCAGCGTGACCGTCTTCGAGGCAGAACCATCATTTGATGCTCGCAGTCAAGGCGGGACTCTCGACCTGCATCCCAAAACCGGTATCGCAGCTTTGAAAGCAGCAAAACTGTACGATGAATTTGCCAAGTATGCGCGATTTGACGTCTCAGCCCCCACTGTTTCCGACAAGAAAGCTCAGCCGTATTTCCAGCTCCCTCGTATGTTCGCCTCTAACCCCGAGATCGATCGTCTTGAGCTTCGACAGCTGCTTCTGTGGTCTCTTCCCGACGGAATGATACGGTGGAATCATCGTCTAGAACGGATAGACGAGAATGGAAACTTGCATTTTGCCCACGGCATCGAGAAACAATATAACTTGATCGTCGGCGCTGACGGGGCTTGGAGTCGGGTTCGTGCGGCGATCACATCCACAGAACCTGAATACTCGGGCTTATCAGGATACAATATGTCCATCCCTAATGCCAAAGAGCACGCCCCTAAAACGTATGGACTGGTGAATCGCGGATCATTATTCGCCTATTCCGACGGCAAATCTATCATGGGTCAGCAAATGGGCGACAGAAGTATCCAGGTGGCAGTGTACTCGCCGCAAGAAGAATCCTGGGCGAAAGAGATGCGGGTCAAGAAGCCGTCCAGGGAGGATATTTGTCAAGAATACGACGACTGGGCGCCGGAGTTGTTGGAAATGGTCAGAAAAACGGAGGGCGATATGCGGATCATGGCATTGTATATGCTTCCCGTGGGAACGAAGTGGGAGTTGCGACGAGGTGTCACTCTTGTGGGTGATGCGGCGCATCTTATGACACCGTTTGCGGGTGAAGGAGTCAACCTCGCGCTAGAAGATGCGATGAAATTGGCTGAAGCGATAATCCGCACGAAAGACCAGGATTTGCAGTCGCAGCTTGATAGCGTGATGCTGTATGAGAAGGAATTGATGGATCGAGGGAGCAAGGCCCAGGCGCTGACACAGAAGCTTATGGAATTGATGTTTTTCACGGAGGGTGCACCGCGAGAGACTATTCAGGACTGGATTATTGCGCGGGCTTCCTATGACTGTGACCCTAGGATGAGGCCGTTTCTTTACCCCTTCCTTGTTGCGGGAGTTTATGGATTTTATTCGGTTTTCAAATGGCGTATTTGAGTTAATACCCGATTACGAGTTGTAGGTAATATCGATTAGCTTAAGGTGGCTCGGTTTTATGGTTATAGTTGCTAGCAAGTTTTAATATTCAATATGACGTGCCGCGTGGCTGCGTGCACAAGGATTGATGGCAACATTTGAGTAACTGACCACAAAGAAAAATGTCCAGGACGGTTGTTTTCACTACATTCTGTTGATTTGACCCGGTTGCGGTCAACCTGGATCACTGTCGCTCTCTTTTTGAACGCAATTTATGGAGGAATCTAGATGAATCCACAGTTCGGCGTATCCTCCTCGGTCCTAAAGCGGGTCCGATTCAACGTGGCTTTCGGAGACATACCCCGAGATCCTCAACCACACGTTAAACTTACCTGGAAGAATCTCGCATTACCATTTCAAGCAACGGGAAATTATAATGATTGAAATAGCCCTCACGTCAGGAAAGACTCCTTAAGAACAATAGGGCTAACCACTATGCTGACGCCAAGACCGATCAGCATTCCCAATACGAGTCACAGCAACAGCGCATTTGGGGGCTCAGCTCAAACGAGCGAGCGTTGCATTTGACCGAATCTGGAAATAGTTCTAGTCAAGTAGAAACTTAATGCGTCTTAGCTCGTCCGTCGAAGAATTTTATTTGAGCTACGTTGGATGGAGCTTGGCGCTGCGTCATTTCTATCTACGATGGGTTCGTTTCACCGCTGGCGGCCCCTATTGCTGCTAGCCAGCCCTACGAGTCAGCATGCTGGCACTGCCCGGTTGTATGGGCGAATGTGGCACGCATGGACGTAGTGGCGTTGGCATCTGACGGCGATAGCGAGAGGCGCCATGTTTGACCCGTTCGGGAGAAAGGGGGACAGGAAGAGATGATTATGATGGGGTTTCATCATCGAGGCTCACAATATTTAAAGCAGTGTAAGGTCCTGAGTTAGTTCAGCTAGTTCTATCACTGGTTCTATCTCAGTTTCTCTCTCATCTCTTGTCGATTTACCAAAGTTACAAGAACAGCATAAACATAATCCATTTCGTCATACCTTTTATTTTGCGCACTATTAGTCTGAGAAGAATTATCGAGTTATCTTAGCTCCTGAACTGTGGTAAATAAGATCCATCTGCAAATATGCACCTCCAACTTCCAACAATCGGCGTCGCCCTTCTTCTACCTATTACTTCTGTCTTCGCTGGAATCATAACGCCGCCCTCTTCCTCAACGCTCGATATCATGCGCCGTGCTGCCCCCGAGGAACACTCAATCCAAGCCCTTGATGATCGGTCGGCACTTGCCTCTGCGAGTGATGAACGCCTTCCACAATTATATGCTCGGGATGATGATGATGACAAGGACGACGATAACGACGATAACGACGATGAGCGAGATGATCGCGACGATGACGACGATGACGACGATGACGACAGCGTCTTGGACAAGCTCAGAGATAAAGCCGGTGACATTGGAGACGACATTAAGGACGGAGCTAGCGATATCAAAGACGACGTGAAAGATGAAGTAGACGACGTGTTCGACGATGGCGTCGGGGCTCTCCGGCCCGGAATCATCCTACCGGGATTATTTGCTGCAGTTGTGGTGGCTGTCGCGGGAATGTAATGGGGAACTTTTGGGTGCATTGTATGCAACAGCATTTAGATTCTTTTGAGACCGAAAGAGAGGGAGATTGTGCTCTTTTTCTTCTTCATATTTTTTTTTGTGGGGGGGGAGAATGTTCCATGGTGTTCACGGTGACTTCGGTTCAAGGTCTATTCCTGGGAACTACAACCATGCGATTGACTGATTTTTGGTGAATTGAAAAGGCGATGCCTTTCATTTGCTGCTTCTCTCGTTACCAATGTGGCTTTCATTCTTTGTGTACTTCCATCGTCCTCCGGCAGACATAGCTTTTTCATATTCACTCCCCATTGTCGCTGTCTCCATCTCCGCCTCTATCCTTGCTTGAACACGTTTCCTTTCAAAATTTCTCAAAGTTATTCATACACTTTTCACCTATTAAGCCTCAAGCGTTCATTGAGAATACTTATTTTTACTCCATAGTCGCACAGATGCGCATAAATTGGGTTAACCAACATAAACCCTTCCTGAAATGCAAGATAAAGAGCCCCCAGTCTAATTTCAACCCTCAAGGGGATATGACAGGTCTTTCTGTGATTGATTGTTGCCTGTAACAAACTTCCCATCGGAATAGCCGACAGGTCGCAGCTTATACTACCAGCACGTGTGACCACTAAGCAAAGTAAAAAGAGCGCTATCCTGTTCTCATGACTAGGCCACTGGTCCATAGATTGTTGATGACTGGAGAACTTGGTGTCTGGGAAAGCATGGCCTGTGCAGCTGAAGTCGTAGTCTCCAAGTCTCTTAAGCTCAACGAGATAGTCGGGTTCCAGGAGGACTCGTGCGAGAACTGGGACATCCCTTTATATCCTGGTATCATGGAGCTGGCGGATCCCCAGAGGATCAGAACGTTCAAAGAGCCCCCAAGCAACATTAAGTTTCCCCCCGGAGGATTGATTCTATCGGATCTAAGGGTCAAGACGAGGAAGCCGGCAGCATCTTGAGATCGAGTTATTTTCCCTCAAATACAATTATTGCTTTTTTCTGCCCTTTCCCATAACCGTAGGCTTAGCGCCTTGTTTTCTGGATCTGAGAAAGGAGGTGGTGTAAACTCTAACGTTGCTCAGTTCGTCTTCCGTCGAGCACCTGGTCTCATATATTGACAAGTTTGTGTCTGGGAGGAAAGTTGGGTCTCTCATCCTCTCTTCGTTCACCGCCAGTAATCCAGCTAGGTAGACGTAAGCAGAAACTCCATCATCGCTCTCTTGCCTTCCACTTTGACCAAGGCCTCGGTGTGCATGGCACCTGTCACATCCTTTCTCTGTAGTACTAGCTTTAGCCTCCTCGCATCCGCCTCTAGTTGATCTGCTGCGTGCGGTGGGATGACTTCATCCTTTTCAGCGGACAGCATAAGGATGGGCGGCGGCGAAAAGGTCATCCGTCTCGGCTTCGCAATTCCCGACCGTGGCACCACCACCACCATCTGTTCGCCAGGTCCACCCTCTCCCCATCGGCACTGATCCCTCCATTCCGCCATCCGTTCTAATGAGACTGAGCTGTCCCAGTTATTCCAGAGAAATGGCCACAAATACCGATACGGCAGCCACTTCTGCGGATACAAGCTGATCAACATATCTTTTGTGCTGGACGTCGGAGCCTCCATAACCAGCCCAGTGATTGGCACCACCCCGGCCTCATCACCGTCTCCTTTCGACATTGGCTCCGAGAAACCTCTTCCATCGCCCTGACGAGCCAGATACGTCGCGAGAGCGGTACTCGCAACCGCTGACCCCAGGCTATGGCCCCAGAGAATCATCCGCAGGTCCGTGTCCGGCTCGGCATAAGTCTTCGAGACCCAGGCCAAGAATGCCTGCGCGTCCAGCTCGATTCCTGACTGCGTCGCGCGGCCTGACGACGTCCAGTATCCGCGGTAGGACAGAGCCACCACGATGTATTCGACGTTGTCGTCCTGCGACGCGGACGTCACCGTGCGCAGCGTATCCGAGAGCAACGGGAGCCGGAGAGGTGTCGATCCACCATTTCCTTGGAAGTAGCAGATCATGACGCGCTTTTTCCGCTTCGCGACCATCTCCGGATTGCCGTGGCGAGAATTCGCCATATCAATAGTAGTAGTAGTAGTAGTAGTAGTAGTAGCGGCCCCGTGGGGAGGAGGGGGGCTTTTCATCCGTCCCTCGCAAACAGCTAGCTTTGTCCCATCTAAACTCCGGATCTGCTTCTCATCCCATTGCACAGGACTGCATTGAGATTCGTAGTCGGTGATTTTCTCAGAACGCGCGAACGGCGGCAGCCATGCGATGTATAGAAGTTTGTCCTGCATGACCACGATCCAGAAGCATTTCCAAGTCCAGAGACCGAGAAGCAAGGTGGTGAAGATGGTGGGTGGGATGAGCACGGTGGGAATGGCATCTGTGAAGAACGCCCGACGCTGTCGGGGAACGCTGGGGTGAATTACATGATGCTTTTGTTGGTGGATCGAGACTCTGGTTGGGGAGATGTTGGTAATGGTCCGGCAGTGCAAGCTGGCGTGGACTTTACGGTTGCGGAGTCCGAGCAGATTGTGCCGCGGGCGCGACAGAGCCCACCTTCCCAGCATCAAAGGAGGACTAGAGAGATGATGAATATTCTAGATGTATGAGATAGTTTGAACCCAACCGAGACATCATTGGCATTGATTAAGGTCGTCGGAGATTTGTCGGACCGAGATGACTCATCAGAACATATCCTTGGTGTAACTAGTTAACTATAACTCTTCATAAATCTGCTCCTTCGGCCGGAAATTTATTTGCATTGGGGTGATACATTGACGATTTATAGTTTTCAGAATATAAATCTTCTTCCTTCAACTTAGGGTTTGGTTTGGTCCAGTGACCCGCATCATGCGTATAGGTGTATCTCTTGCATAACCAAATTTATGTATATCATTGCACCCATTCGAGGTCAACTTTTGCATAGCAGTAACCCGGATTGAGTGATGTCTGATCTATAAGATGTTTCTGATAATTACTCACTATTGTCTTCTTAGGGTTGTACTCAAGTTGTCTCAATAGTTGAGTTTAATCGATCAATTCCTTTCCTGATATGGCTACCCAGGTAGGTGATACGTCAACGTAAAGCCCAACAAATCTACCATTGATACTCGCTCATACTAGGAGGCAAATCCTCAATCTTTGTTCCCCAGGCACTTTCCTTCGTCCCCAGCTCCAATTCCAAGACACCGCCCTCAGCAAAAAAATCATGCCCGATCCAATTCTTCGTCCACGGCTTACCATCCCGTTTGACGCTCTGGATATAGATCGCCTTATAGCTGGGGTCGAAATTGAGGTTCCGAATCGTAGCGATCTTCCCGGTAACTTTGTTTCGGAGGCTGATTTCCTTGAAGAAAGGCGCGCTGATCAGGTAGACATCTTGACCGTGGACTGGGAACAGTCCTAGCATGCTTAATGCTGCGAATGAGCCCATCGCGCCGCCATCATCGTTGCCGGGGATTCCGGAGACCGATGTGTTGAATTGAGAAGGAATGTAGAAATGGGCGCGTTTGGTGGAAAGGGCGGGTCGGCCTGCGTAGTGATATTGGAAGACGGTGAGGAAGGCTTGCTCATCGCCGACGTAGAGGACTCCGGATTCGTGAAGATAATTTAGCCGCGTAGTGAAGCTCTTTGGGCCGCCGAGGGTTGTGATCAAAGAGCCCATATCCTGCGGTGCGTAGCTTTATTGATGAATTTGTTAGTTTTAGCTCGCTCATTTAGGGGAGGGCGAACGTACAAGGTATAGAGCCAGCAACTGCCCTCGTATGTCTCGTGACCATTGGCATTCAAGTAGCACGAATCAAAGTTCATAAGAGGGCTGCAGAATATAGGATCTTGATAGTCCCATGTGCCGTTGGTAAGTCGGGGCTGAACAAAGCCGGTGAAATTGGTATCCACGCCTTTGATGTATGACTTCTGATCTTTCTTGAAAACATTCTTCCAGTTGGACGCGCGCCGTGTGTACTTCTCATAGTCATCATCATGACCCATCAATTGGGCCATCTCTGCGATACAAAAGTCATTGTAGGCGTATTCCAGGGTTCTAGATACGCTGCGGGTGTGTAACCCTTTGCCGTCTGTGTCGATGTCATTTTTGGGAATATAGCCAAGGTTCTTCCAGCTGCGAAGGCCTCCTCGTCCTTCCACATCCCAGTTCGAGGGCTCGACCTCCGCGTCTTTGACGACGGCTTCATATGCGGTGTCCCAATCGATATTCTCCACTTTTTTCAGGTAAGCTTCGGCGATCAAGACATCTGCATTGGAGCCGCCTTGAGTCCAGCCTTTGCAAAGCGACATGCGGCAGTCGGGGAGATATCCCTCGTGACGGTAAATATCAACAAGGCTCCGGAGCATCAAGGACTGAGAATACGGGTCCATTAGTGTTAAGAGCTGGTGAACCCCGCGGTATGAGTCCCAGATACTATGCCCGTGTCAGCAGTTTCAGATGACAATGTTACGGAAACATTGTTCCTCACCAGTAGTAGCTATCATAGTACGGCTCATCGCTTTCCCACAAGGGATTCTCCCCGGTGTAGTCCTGAGGACTGATCATGGTGCGATAGATTCCACTCCAGAAAACCTTCTGAAGATCAGTTGAAGCCTCATCCGCATCGACACTGACCACATTCAGCTTGTCCGTCCATGCCACTTCTGCGGCAGAAACAGTTTTGGCAAAGTCGAAGTCGGGCTGCTCTTTCTCCGCATTCCCGCAGGCTTGTTCCACGCTAATGAAGCTTACGCCCACTCGCGCAAGAATAGAGCCGTTCGTTTCTATAGCATCGAATCGCGTATACATCCCAGCCGAGTCTGTGCGTACAGCGTTACCCTCTGCAATGTCGATGCTGTTTTGGTCAGGTGTCACCGAGTTCCTGTTCCAGGATCCTGTCCCGCGAACTGCGGCGCCTTTGAAGTCGACACAAAAATGTAGGTTATAAGTCCCTTGCCCGAAACTGGGATTGAACGTGCCATTTCCAGTAAGTCTCCCAGTAGACGGATCCACCGAGGCGGCGCCTTTCGATCGCGATTGTGGAAGGTCCATCAAGTCAACAAGAACAACCGGATTTAGAGGCTCGCTAACATCCTTCAAGTTGAAGCGGTACAGAGCCGACCGGTTCGTAACGGTCATTTCAGCATGAACACCATTTTCCAGTTCGATGCCAAAGTACCCAGGTCTGGCTTTGGGGGAATCTTTCTTCCACACTGTTGCCCTGTCGTTTTGCTGCCACTTGCATTTGCTCAAATCATTTTCCGGGCAACTGGGATGAACGAAAATGGGAAAGTTGCCTAAGGAAGCTGCCTACGTAGTGTGAGTAATTAGGGGCACATGTTTGATAAACTGTCTCGATGACTTACGCCTCCAGTTCCAGAGTCATGCATATGAGAGAACCCGGTGACCTTTGTTGTGTCGTATGCAAAACCACCTTGGTTCTCTCCTAGGGTGTCGGCTACGGCTTTGGCCATACCTAGTTTTTTATGAGCAGCGTGTGCAATCAACTACAGCATTAAGACCTACCAAATGGAAGCGTGGCTCCGGCAAAAGAATGTCCTGAGCGGTTTGTCCGGTTAGAATCACAGCTATGCTGGAAGATGGATTTCATTCACCTCCATTGGCGGTTCCGATAAGCGGGTCGACATAATCCAGGACGTCAAATTTAGTTTCATCGTCGTTTTGAGAGTATGCAATGCATGAAAACGATAAGAAGATTGAGAAAATGTGCTGAAGCTTCGTAAAACGATGGCTTGATGCCATGTTGTGGATCGGAATGCAGAAGCGACGTTACGTCTGGGGATATGGATCGTCCGGCTAGATGAGGACAGAGAAAGATATTTCAGCAGGGATAGAGTGCCTTGGTTTTTTAGCATTCACTCCTTGCCCAAGACTTGCAGTGGCCGGCTGGGTTGACAACAAATAAACTGAGGTATGACGCAGAACCACATTCCACAGTTGTTGACACGGGGAATGGTATACAAAACAAATTCAATACCCCGTTTCCCAAACCGTTGGGGAAAAGAAACAGAAGGAGCCTTCACCATGCATTTTGTCGGCAGGTTGTTTCTTATTTATGTAATTCACGCCGAACCCTTTCCCATTGCCCGTTGAGCACACGGCGGCAATGGCAGCGGCGATTGGCAGAGAAGTTCCCTAAAATAGCAGCGCGACAGGCCGTGGTCACATCGTGCAGTGACTGCATTGACGCATGTAACTCTGCAGGGGGGCGGAGTTCAATCCAATCAAAGGAACAATTCGAAAATCGGTAGCCGACTCGATCGCCTGCCCGCATTTCATACTCCGCAGAGGACCGGGGTGGAGTCGTTTCTGTAGGGGTTCGATGCGGGGCAACCACCGCGGTGACAAAGATTGATCCCATAATGATTACTTTTCAAATTTGAATCAACAGCATTGATTCAAGAGCTGTATCGCCGTGGCTAGAAAACAGAGGTCTTCAATGCAATTGTACATATACAAATGAAATGGCCAATGAAGGGCTTGGCAAGGAGCAGAATGTTTGACACCGGGCGTCTAAAACCCTATGTATATATCCCTTTGTAAAGAGCTTTTTGACCAGGATTAAATCTCTCAAGTTTTCCTCAGGCCCTAAATGAAGAGAGAGTGGCGCATGGAGGTAAAAGGGGTTTAAGCGCCCGACTCTAGTTACCATCCAACGAATTGTGATGGACTTGATCTCTGCCGGAAACATGAGGCCCAAAGAAATAGACACCCATCCTTAACCCGTAGACTGGGAGATTCCGACGGAAACACTATGGAACCGACCGACCTACGTGGGAATCATAGCCCAGGGCCACATGTCGGAGGAGGAGACTTTAAACATAAACACTCGTCGAACAACTTGGCCGACAAAGCGACCCATCGTCTGAAAGTTGGTAGTTGGCATCCACCGGCTCTTTTGCTAGTCCAGTGGGTCAACGGTCATGGCATACTGTCATAGATCGAATAAGAGCTTTCAAATCATATCAGACACGATCCTGTCCCATGCTTTGTCGCCTGGATCGGCTGTCGTGTTCGGGATATCTGTTGAGCATTCCCATGCCTGAGTATTTATCATGGGCTCACGCGTTGGTAGTTTAGCATTGAAGTAATCTCTCATGTTAGCGTTATCACTTCGCAAACTTGCATTCTCCTCTCTCAAATTCCGATTTTCAGCTTGAAGTGCGTTTTGAGACTCCACAGCCGCCATGATGAATCCTAATTTCGACAACAGTTCGACCGAGAACTCCTGATCAGCCGGGAAGTTTCCATTGGTCATCAGAAACTCCTTAGCCTGGGAAAGTAATTCTGGTTGAATAGAGGGCGTTTGGTGAAGCTGTTGGACTTGCTGTGGAGATGTGACAGATAGATTGGGAGTCTCCCAAGGACCGGGTCCCACCGTTTGTATTGACCGATGTTGATGAAATGCGCTGTAGCCGGAAGGACTACTAACTTTACTGGGGCCATGCACGCTCGGAGTGCTGCTCCGCGACACGTTGGACGACGGAAGAGGCGTGTCAAATTGAACCGATTGATCCCATTGATTCTGTCGACACGACGGACAGTAAAAAGGCCTAGGAGGAAATAATCCTTCAAGTCGTTGGAGGCAAGCGGCGTGGTAGGACCTGCAACAGGTCTCGCAAGGAATCAAGTCATCTGGATTGCGACATTGCGAGCAGATCAAGTTGTGTGGTTTTCCAACGCCTGAATGATGTTTAGTACGAGCCAGACTGGCGTTGTTCGACACGAGATACTGACTAGTCCATTCATCGTAAATCCGACGTTTCTCGGCCCCAGAAACGCTACTTGACTTGTAGAAACTATTTACCGATGGCAAATGACGCATTGACCACTCGCGTTCTATGTGGAAATGAGGATGCGGCGAGCTATTCTGCTGTGTCGATGGCTGCGATGGGCCTAGACTATCAGGTGGGGCTCGAAGCATTGCCAGCGACAATGAAGTGGACCTGCTAAAATGTGAAGGACAGAGAGACGATGAAACAATTTGGGGGGCGACGATGATATACTCGATCGGGACGCCCGATAAGGAGCCGGAGGAATGATGTTCCCGGTCCCGTGCCGTGGCTGATTAAACTCGCCGAGTTTCCACCGAACGCCCTCCTGGCTCATTCACACTTTCTCCAAGAATGTTCTGGCTTTCTTGGAAGCGACATACTGGGACGGTGTTGCAGGCATTCACCGTGAGATAATAATTCCAGCTGGTGCGAGTGTCAGAAAACGTTATCACTTAGCTTTCCAGAGAACTCTGTCCTAATCGTGGCAAGAATGCCCGGGGTACCGTCAAACAAGGCTTGTGAGCGTTGTAAAAAGCGACATCTCAAAGTTCGTTCTGCGTGTGATTCATTCTATTCGCGATCTTATGCTAATCTGCACAGTGTGACGAGACTCGTCCACACTGTCAGCGTTGCAGCACGGCTGGCGTTCAGTGTCCTGGATATGTCCAGACTCGGAAGTTCATAGATCAAGGCGCCTCGGTACGGCGTCGATATGCGCCTTACCAAGACGGCAGTTTGCGGCCTCATGCGCCCAAAGCCCCCGAAGATGTAAGAGGCTTGGTCTTCCTTGGCATCATCATTCAATGCGTTTTGACATCTTAAAAGGTTGCTAGCGATCCTGTGCAAGCCATAAATCGCAATCTGGATCCCCATCCGATTAACAACCCCTCTCCCCGATCGGAATTGGCACCTCCTACTGATTGGCCGCCTGCCGGGGTACACCAGCCCGAATGGCAATCTCCTATGCAAGATCCGAGGATCAGCTCCGCGATAGCGTCTCCACCTCTCTCGGCATCCCTCCCGGGCCAGCGAACAAGCTCGCGCGTGGAAACAGGACCCGTCGATACGACAGGTTCCACCCAGTCGCGCAGCGCTTCTAGTAGAAGTGTCGGCCCTAGTCCAGTTACCCCAATCAATGCACTCAACGAAAACTTCAATCATCTAGGCAATGTATATAGTGACTCCAGGCAAAAGCCATTCTCACCAAACGCTGGGATAACGCAGTCTGCGAGCCCGTCCCAACGAAGCGAAAGGGAGGAGTTTCAAGATATCTTTTCCGAACTGATGACGGGAACCGAGCATGAAATAGCGTTTCTTATACGGCATTATTCAGAAACCTTGGGGCCTTGGTACGTATATAACCCTGGGCGATCCAGCTTGAACTCTACTCACTTCAAATAGGCTGGATCTCTCCGACTCGAACAAGTTTTTCGGTGCTTTCGTACCTATCCGTGCCATCAATGACTCATATCTCAGATTTGCCATAGCTGCCCTGTCCGCCAAGCACCTAGGACGCATGAAAGGCGCGGCACTGCACGTCGGTAGCGGGATGTTCACCAGCCCCGCTACCATGGAAACGTACCCTAATTCGGCGCAGGTGGATTGGTTTCTAAAAGCTGCTAATTACTATTATCTGGCCGCTTCCGAGATGAATGCCAGCGTCTCAGATGCTTACAACTCCGTGTCCAGCTCTGCCGTTCTAGAGTCACCGGTCGAGATCGTTCGACGGTGGCTAGATCTTCACACGAAGAATCCTCGGTTTCAATCACTCGGCGAAGAGCATGCAGCTAGCGAGTTCTGGAAGAAGACAGAAAACTTACTAGCAGCTGCTACAGTTCTCATTCTTTATAAGCTGCTGGATGAATCCGGCGATAATTGGCAATTGTGTGTTTCCATTCAATGCGTAATATTACCAGGCTAACATCCAGAACTACAGGCAGCTTCGGGGCATCGGACCATTATTCACCTCGTTGCTCAAACTACACCATCTGACTTCCGGCCATCCCACATTTACCCAGGGCACGGCGGCATCCTTTTGGAACTTGGCTCGGCAAGATTATCTGAGCTCATACTATACTCGATTACCTCCACATTTCGACCACCAGAACCTCCCACTGTGGAGTGCCGCCGGCATTCCCATCGACGACCAGGGAAACGTTTCATCTTCCAATAGCAACTCATCCAACCTACGCCCCTCACCAGAAGACCTCTCGACAAACAACCTCATCTGGCTCCTGAACAAGGTCATTAATTTTCTCGCCGAGTCCAAAAAGTCCCAACTCGAACAATGGACCGGTCAAACACCGATCCCCTCCCCTCCGAACACCACCACCTCCATACCCCCAGCCGCTGCCTCCTCCACTCACCCCACGACATCCACCTGGCTCAAACTCCAGTTTGAATTCCAAGCCTGGCTTGAACGCATGCCCGAGACCTTCCGCCCCTGCCTCCGACTCCAACATCCCAAAGACCTCTCCAAACTCCCTGATATCCACCACATGCCATTCCCCGAGATTTTCTACAGCCTGACTTCCTGCGCTGCCGCCATGCAGCAGTACCATTTCGGACGGCTCGCGCTCGCCCTCAATCGTCCCTCCGACGCCGTCAGCGGCCCTAGCACCGCATTTGATCGGCTCCAGGGGTATCGCGAGCTCACTAAGGAGGCCGATTATCGGTGCAAAGAGATCTGTGGCATTGCGTTGGGGAGGCCGCAGAGCGCGGCGCGGGTTTTTATGGTGCCGCTTCTTTATGCCGTGGGGCAGTGCTTTGAGAGTCCTGAGGAGCGGGCCATCGTGAGGGACTTGATGAGGGGCATTGAGGCCGATCTGGGCTTGGTGACGGCTAAGCAGGTGCAGAAGTTGCAGCATGCGTGGTGTCAGACGTAGAATGGAGGCAGGATTCTACGTTTTGATGAGGGTGAAATGTGAAATGTACACTTATGTTTGTAATGGCCGTTGATATCGTAATGATCGTTAAATACATTGTAACCCCGTCGAGTGTGTCAATCAGAGATAGTGGATGTGACAGATCTGCGTCTGGATGTGATCGACGGCAGTCGATCGGCCATATTGTGGTAGATGATATCCGATCGAACCTCAGGCATGGTAGAGTATCACAACAGGATTATCCCAAGGCTTGCCGCAGAGTTTGGAAAGTAAAGAGATTTCTCCAAATCCAACCAGACAGGACTGTGTTGTAATTCCAGTTTTCGTAGAAAAAGCCGTTCCAATCATATCCCCCTCCTCCTCAAACATCATCCTCGTCCGGATCATAGAGATCCAAATCCAGCATCGCCTTGGGCTTCGGCGGCGGCGCGGCCGTCCGCCCAGCACTGGTGGCCGCCGAACCCGCATGAGCCGCCGCCATGGCCGCCTCGTCTGCATGGGAGGCACTTTCCTTAGGCTGCACGGGCGTCATCGCATCGGCCACACCGGACCCCTCCGCCTCGCGAATCAACCGCTCCACCTCCCCGTCGGCGTCGAACCCAGGCCGTCCCTCCGCCGCGGCCAGCTGGATCTGACCCATCAGGCCCCCTCGAATGCGATCCTCCATCGGATACGGCAGCATGTACACCTGACGCGTCAAATTGGCCGACTCGTCCAGCCAGGCGGTCGCGTCCTTCGTGACCGACGAGACCGTCTCCACGCCCAGTCCGCCTTCTGTCTCTGTGCCGTTGGCGTTGGGGTTCGTGTTGTTGTTCGTCCCTGTCATCTCGGAATCCTGATTCTGATCTTCCCCTTCGATCTTTTTCCGTGTCTTTGTCTCGTTCCCGTGGATCCCCTCTGCTGCGTCGGCTGCTGCCTGCAGGTTATATTTGCTAATGCGGCGCGCAAAGTCGAGGAGGAGTTTGTATTCGACTTCTTTCGTCTTGCGGAGGCCTGTTCGACGGGGTCGGTTTCCTCCACCGCCCTCCTCCTCATCTATATCGCTCTCGTCATCGTCCTCGTCATCCTCATCCAGATCCGAATCGCTATTTTCGTCGTCGTCGTCGCCGTCGCAGGTCGTCCGGATCTCGTTCTCGTAGTGGACCACGTCGCGCACGATGCATTTCACGCGATCTTCGAGACTCTCGGCTTCGGCGCGCAGTTTCAGAATCCGTGCGTAGTTCGCTTGGTGCTGGCGGAGGGTTTCCACGGCGGATGTGAGCGAGTCGTCGGCGTTGAGGAGGTTCACGGCCGCGGAGGGGGCGCCGGCGGCGGTCGGGGAGGTGGTTAGGCTGGTGATTAGGGCATTGAGTTTTGATTCGAAGTCCGAGAGCGTTGCTTGGAATTGGGCGTTCATGGTGGAGCAGGTGAGGGAGGGGAAGGGAGCGCCAGTCGTGGAGGTCGTGGAGATCGAACTGGAGCTGGAGGTGAAGCTGTTGTAGCTGTTGTTTGGCGGACAAAGAGAGGCACGTGATGGGATAGTTGGGGTCACGTGGGTAATCTTGAGTGGGCCAATCAGAGAGCGGGAATGGCTAGTCACTTGTCAGGATTGCAATCCTGGCGCTTTTAGTGCTCTGAGTGCTCTGGGCGGTTTTATATACTTGGGGTAGGATATGCTCGGGCCCATGGGGCATGGACTTGGTGCTCCGCCATCCTTTGGCCAGAGAGCTGGTCTAAATTGACCTATCTCCAAGGATAAACTGCCCTAGAATCACCGCTGCGGGGTCATTCTCATTCATCCTATCAACTCTGGTCTACTTCTCTTTACTCAGCGCATAAGCTGACCGTTCTCTTGCTTCCACCTCGATCCAGCCGAATTTCTACCTGCCTTCGCTGGTCTTCTGTCTGTGTACTCAGGTGCATCTCGACATCATTCCCCTTACCCCAATCATGCAATTCCCACGCAAATCCCGAGAATCGCCAAGTGGAGACATGTAAGGCTGTCCGATCGTCCTGATAAAGATTAAAGAGCTGCTGTCCCTCCAACAACAACAATCATACCCATTCACCCTTTCCTATACCACATTCGCCTTAACCAGCCCCCTCTATTAACCGATATACTTCGCGATGACCTCCCCCACTCCCACTTCTTTCCCCCCCGCCAACTCCCTTGGCCCCGACATGACTCTGCAACCCCCGCTCTCGCGCTGCGGAAAGGGTCCGGGACTAGTGCTGCTGCGCCCGCAAAGCCATGCATCTTGCGCCGACCAAAACACCGGGCTGGATCCGGCGCCGTTGCAGAAGTGGGCCGAGGAGAGCTACGCCGTGGTGCAGGTCACCATCGATCGCGAGAATGAGTCGCCGCTGGAACGCGTGACACGAGCACTCGACGAGCTGCGTTCTTTGCCCGAGTGCGATGACAAGCACAAGTTCGCGTTGTTAGGTCTGTCTTTCCCATCCAGCCAGATTCTGTGGATTGACTGACAAATGCAGTGTACGGCTCGAGGGGCGAATATCCTCCCTCCTTTACCAGCTTCCTCCACGAAGTTGCACAGTCTTTTGCAGCCGTGGTGTCGTTCTCGGATTACGACATCCCCAACGTCCCGGTGCTTCTGCATCTTACGGGCGCAGCCGGTGATCAAATCCATTCGCACGAGACAAAAGTCTACTCGTATCCCGAGGCCTTGTCCTCTGAATTCATCGTCCCCGGACATGCAGATTTCATCGCCTCGGCGGCTGGAGTCGCGCATACGCGATCTCTCACGTTCATGAAGAAGCATCTCGACGGACCGTATTTCGATCTCGAGAAGATCTGGGAAGAGCATACGTTCTACGAGTTTGAGGACCGGTCGGTCGAAAAGACCATGGCGACTATGGTGCAAGAGCCGTATGTAAACCATACGACGACGGTGAGTTCGGAGATCGCGTGCCTTGGCTAGTTTGTTGTAAATACTGACTGATTGGGATAGTTGACTGGGGGCATTGGCCGGGCAAAACTCAGCAATTTCTATCTCCATCATTTCATCTTTCAGAATCCCGCTGATACCCAGCTGGAGCTGATCAGTCGTACAGTCGGCGTGGATCGCGTCGTGGATGAATTCATCTGCCATATGACTCATAACATGCAGATTGACTGGATGTATGTTTCTCTTTCCTCGCGCGGACATAACCGCAAAGATCAAACTGATACTGACAATAAAGGATCCCCGGGATCCCACCCACCGGCAAACTCCTCCACGTCCCCTTCACGGCGATCGTCAACATTCGCGGCGACCGGCTTTACCACGAGCACATCGCCTGGGATCAAGCGACGGTGCTGGTCCAACTGGGTCTAATGCCAGAGTATCTGCCCTATCCGTATGCGCTGGCCGATGGACGACTGCCGGGGCCGGGTAAAACATTCGAGTATCGTGTTCCGGCGGCGGGGGTTGAGTGCGCGACTAAATTGCAGAATGAGCATTCGGTGGAGTCGAATAGGATGTTTGAGTTTGAGGTGCGCGAGGTTGATGCATGAGTGGGTTGAGGGTAGATTTGTCTCTTGGGATCTGCTTGAAGATAGTATATTTGGGAGAGACAAACGAGGAAGGATTCCTATAGGGTAGGCATGTATGTTTCCTCGTCCGTGGCTACTTGCCCGGCGCGCCTTTTCCTTTGGACAGTAGTATTGTAAGTACTAAGGAACCAGGATTACTCTATTCTAACCTCTCAATATAATTATTTTTGTTATATAATGAATAGATCCAATGTACTCATTACCAGTATGTAGATAGCGTTCTAGGCACCATAGATCAGACCCGCCAAGATCTAGGCTTGGCGCTCCTTTTCCGCTCATCCTGGCGCACCGCAACCATCCCAGACAAATCTAGGGCAAAAGCAGCGACGAAGTCCTGTGGGTGGGAACGGCCCGACACACACGGCCGATGCAACAGCCTCCAGTTCCGTCATCGGCGCTATGGAACTGCTTGCAGGACCCTCCTCGCGTTATGACTGTCCTAGCATAGCGGACCTTGCGTTCCAAGACCTTAAGCTGATGCATCATTTCACCACCGTAGTCGCCAGGACACTTTCCCATCGCGACGAAATCCAGGACGCGTGGGCTATCGCTCTTCCCAGAGAGGCGTACACGTGCGACTACCTTATGGACGGCCTCCTCGCATTATCCGCATTGCATATTCATTCGGCGGACTGCGAGAACAAAAGGCACGACTACGCAGCTCTATCTACTTACCATCTGCACAAATCGCTAGCGCGCTTCAGAGAGAAACTCGCCGACATATCGCCCGCGAATTGTGTGCCTTTGTTTGGTCTGTCTTCTCTTATGGTTATTCTGGTTTGCGCGCAATGGAGAAAGGCCCGGAACATCCTCGTCGTAGGGAGAACTCGCTTTCGTCGCTGGATATGTTGGTGAAAATCTTTAATATGTGTCGGGGCGTCGAGACTATCCTTGCTCCTTGGAGGGGGGAGATTCAGCAATCTTCTTTGCGGCCTTTACTTCATGAGGATTATAGTCTCGTTATGAATATATCAAGGTATCGCTTCTCTGTCAAATGGTTCCAATAACTCCACGGAATAATATGATGATAGGAAATGAGAAGCTAACGCGTCCCGAAAGTGGCCATCTTACCGACCAATTCTCCTCCGAAGCCGAACTTACAGCCCTAGCCGACTTCATCAGAAACCAAGACCTCGATACCCAAGAGCGGCACGTCTATCTAGATGCTATATCAAAGCTATGAACAGCCTTACGGTTCATGCGTGTTGCCAATGAACCACTCGAGCCGGGGGCTGCTTTCGTGTGGCCGATTCTAGTGCATCGGGATTTCATATCTTGCATGCACCGCATGGCGCCGGTGGCGTTGGCCCTTACGGAGTTTTATTGTGTTGTTTTGCATCGGCTTGACGGGTTTTGGTTTATAAGTGGGTGGTGCCATGAGCTACTTTTTGAGATCGAGGGGCTCTTGGATGAGGAGTTACGGGGGTGGATGAGGTGGCCGAGGAAGGTGTGCGGGTTGGAACAGACTGTATAAAATTCCAAGGTTACTTACTGGGTACTTACTAGTACTTATCGAGAGTTTAATCAGATAATGTGGGTTTTGTGGACTATTTGTAATATAATAAGTAGTATCTTGGACTCGGAACTATAGTACATTGATTGCAGTTCAGATGCTTGTCGTACGATTGATTAAGGAATATTTGAAAACTAGAGTATTATCATTGCGACTGTTCTCCGCTTTTTAGTGTCCTTTTTTCTAGTTATTGAGCGGAAGACTAATCGAACAACCAAACCTATATGTTAACTATATGTCGGTGTACGTATGGGCCTAGCTTCACATGGCCTGCGTTGCGGCCGGTCGCGCCAGAGAAGGCCTGTCTGGTCTCAAGTCGCATGATACGAGGACCAGGATTGTCCTTTACAATGAAATAAGCTGTAGCGGTGCCGAAATGATCCGACCTGATAATGACAATATTTGCTTAGAAGGTAGCGTAGGGTACTTTGATCGTCGTCAGGGGGTTTGGCGTATGCGTTCCAGAACAACGTTACTGGCTTTGAGCCAGGGAGACGAGATCCTTTGGGAGGTTTATGATGGGACGGTCAAAGAACAATGATTATAGGAGGGGCGGGGAAAGGTTGATCTCATTGGAAAGCTCTTTAGCTCTACCCATAGATGTCTTGCAGTATTTACGTCCCCGATGCCGGGTACATGCACCCGGATGCTTCCCGACTGCAAGTTTCCAAATTACAAATGCTGCTTTTGATCACAGGCTTCAAAGGAAACGCAGCCGAGCATAGGCAGACTATCAACTGGCACAGTATCCACAGGCCGAGAGAGTAGCCACCAATCGGATGAGTGACCGCCATACTAAGACGATACTGGCGACTCAATGCGAGGCGTCTCGAGAAATATGCCTGGTTTGAGAATGAGCTTCTCCTTGGATATCGGATTGCTTTCCGATAATATTATGAACTTCTAAGCGAACCGGCATCGAATGCGAGGGGGCTGAAGACGACCCTTCAGCCATATGGCCACGTCAACAGGGTCTTTAAATAGCGATGGGATCTTGTCGTTGAATCATCTTTCATGGTCATTTTCTACATTCTCATCTATACCCAAGAATATCTCCAGATCCAAAAACCTGCATTTGATCAGTTGAACATTAAAAATCTTTATGCATCACAAACAACCATCTTCTTGCCCGCTCGCAGATAAAATAAACCATGACTACCCTTTCCGAATACCGCCTGCTCTCCTTCGACGTGTACGGCACCCTCATCGACTGGGAGACCGGAGCGTTGAATGGCTTCCAACCTCTGATAGAAGCCAGCGGGATCCACCGCAGTCGCGAGCAGATCCTCTCCGCGTACTACGAATGCGAACGGGCTCAGCAAAGTGCTACCCCTACGATGAAGTACGCCGATCTCGTTGCCGCCATTCATCCCCAAATGGCGGCGCGTCTGGGGCTGCCCGCGCCGACTCCTGAGCAGAGCAGAGCCTTTGGACTGTCCGTGCGGGACTGGCCTGTTTTTCCGGACACTATAGATGCTCTTAAGCGTTTGCAGAAGCATTTTAAGCTGGTTTGTCTTTCGAATGTGGATGCTGAGTCTTTTAGGGGCTCGAATGCGGGATCTTTGGAGAACTTCCCGTTCGATTTGGTCATTACCGCTGAGGAGGTGGGGAGTTATAAGCCGGATCCGAGGAACTTTAAGTATATGTTGCACGAGGCGCAGGAGAAATTTGGTGTTCCGAAGGAGAGGGTTATTCAAACAGCTCAGAGTCAGTTTCATGATCATCATGCTGCGAGAAAGATGGGGATTCGCTCGAGCTGGATTGTCAGACCGGGGTCGATCATGGGGAATATGGATGAGTATGTGTATGACTGGAGGTTTAACACTCTGGGCGATATGGCGGATGCACTCGAGAAGGGGCTTTAGCTGTACTGTTACAAAATAAGGGCCCCGTGAAATATGTGTTACTGCATATGATCCTCGAGGGGCCTTGAGTTTTTCATAGTCGCTTTTCAATGGCACGGAGTTTTCGCCACTCTACGTCGGCTTTTTGTAGTTAACTTTTCGATTAAGATGAAACTGAATGGATAACACAGCCGCTACCATGTGTCTTTGAATAGGAGTCGAAGACCAACCATCCCCCTCAGGAGCATTGGCTGGTCCAAGGTACTACCTAGGCCGCTGACCGTAATCGTAGGTACTGTCGTATCCGCTCGTCGCCAAGATGCTGCAAGTAACTCTTGGTTATTTCCGCAGCCTCCTTTTCTATTCAGGGGCGTGGAGTGTGTAAATCTTTGTCGCAGTAGAGGAGAAATCCGCTCTTTTATCCCGCATATCGGAACTACAGATGCCCTGATTGCCTGGACGGATCGGTCATCTAGATGGAAAAGACCTACAGAGTCCGCTGAGAGTCCGCCGTTCCATTGGCTCTCGTATGGTCGTACACTGAACCCAATGTAGATGAGACTGGTATACTATGGCAGAGAAGCTATTTCAGCAGGTAGAAGTCCTTATGTTTAAGGGGAAACCAACTATTACATAGAAGCCATTGTCTGATCCAGTTTGATGCTATCATACTTTCTGAGACTGTCCACCACTTCAGCTCCCCATTCTCCTTACGCAGTCCACCATGAGCGACTCCCAAGAACACATCGATTTCCAACTCCACCGATATACACCTTCTGCACACAAACCAACCTCATCCACCCGCCCCTCAAGCTCACACTGCACGCGACGCCGACCTCGAAGCCTCCATCGAAGTTCTCCCCCCGGATCCGTGCCAGACCAACACCGCAAATCACCTCTGCTAGACCGGGCATCCTCGGTCGAAACTGCGAAGCTGTTCTGTGAGGCCTGTACATTGCGAGTGTTTTGATCTTGATTAGATCGGTCTTTCGTCTGATTGAGTATGCGCAGGGGAATGATGGGTATTTGATTAGTCATGAAGCGTTCATGTATGTGTTTGATTCGATGTTGATGTTCTTTGCTATGGTGGCGGTGAATGTGCTGCATCCGGCTATGGTCTTGGTTGGGGTGGATCGTAAGGGGGGAGAACTTCGATGGAGGCTTTGAGGTCGGTGTCGCGTGCAGTGTGAGCTTGAGGGGCGGGTGGATGAGGTTGGTTTGTGTGCGGAGGGAGGAACTTAAGGAGCATGAAAGGGGATTTATGGTGTTGAGGTATACTTCACTTGAGCATTTGAAGATGCCCTCATCTCTAGGCTGCTACTAAGATTTTACAGTTATACCACAGAACTTTATTTTACTCTTTGCCATCCATTCCAATGCAATCACCCCCGCAGCTTACACAGCCAGCCATTCCTTCCAAGACTTTCCCATTCATGCGTCCATCAATCATCGACAGCGATGATGCGAATCCTGGTTCTGCCCCGCTTTCCCCTCCCGACAGGTCAGTATACCGGAGTTGTTTATAAATGCAACAATTGTATCTACGCCCTCCTTCCCCACTCCACTCTTCACGTCGATAATCCTGGTACTGGATCAAGATGCTCCGTCGCACTGCTATCGTCACCGGCTCCGCTCGCGGAATGTAAGTCTTCTGCCACCAGGGACATATTCAACCTCTACAATGCCTAACTCTACGCAGCGGTAAAGCTATCGCCCGACGCCTCGTCCAAGACGGCTACTCGGTCTGCATCAATGACATCCCCTCCTCAGCGACCGAAATCCAATCCGTTGTCGACGAACTCAACAACCTCCCTCCTCCAACTGCAGCATCCACCTCCACACAAGCTCCATCTCCCCGCCCACAAGCCATCGGAATCCCAGCCGACGTAACCTCCGCAGACGCCGTGTCCTCCCTCGTGCAAGAAACCGTGCACCAACTCGGCCCGCTCACCCTCATGGTCGCCAACGCCGGAATCTCCCAAGTCAAGCCCCTCCTCTCCAGCACGCCCGCCGACATCGACCGCATCTTCTCCGTCAACTTCACCGGCGTGTTCAACTGCTACGTCGCCGCCGCCCGGCAGATGATCGCGCAGGGCGATCCCCTCTCCGCGGCGGGTGTCCAGGTGTATAAGATCCTCGGCGCGGCGTCCATCGTCGCGCATAAACCCTTCGCGACGCTGGGCATCTACTCGGCGAGTAAATTCGCCGTGCGGGGTCTGACTCAGGCGTTTGCGATGGAGATGGCAGGCCACAAGATCACGGTGAATGCGTATGCGCCCGGCATCGTGGATACGAACATGTGGGAGGAGATCGACGCGGGGTTAGGCGAGATCGAGGGCCGTGGGAAGGGCGAGAGTTTGCGCCTGTATTCGGATCGGAACGTGGCGTTGGGGAGAACGAGTCGGCCGGAGGATGTGGCCGGGCTGGTGGGCGGGTTTTTGGCAGGACAGGATTCGGATTATGTGACGGGGCAGACGATGGTGGTGGATGGGGGGGTGGTTTTTACTTAGTCTTTACTAGGGCGATTGGACCCTTTGAGCAATGCACCAATCTATATCGTGGCAGCCTAGTCGAGGAAAGAAAGGAGACCCCACCGGGCTACGCGATAACCTCAATGGCCAAGCTTTCGTGTGCCCGTCAACGGAGCCCCTGGATGTCTCGGTTCGCTGCTTAGTTGGTTGGTTAGTTTACTGATTAGGGTCTGGTTCGGTCGGACTTGTCTCGGATTTGCGCAGCCACGATGGTTGATCCGGATTGTTTCAGATGGACTTGGATTTATTTTTAATTCTGCCCTTCCTGTTCCCTTAAGGGGTTTCTCGAGTTGAGAAGAAAAATCGGAATGATAATTCTAAATTAGCAGACAGGAGGGAATAACCCGTTCCTGTCAGTTCATTGCGCCATAAGAGAGACTTTTTTCATCAAAGCTTAGTTGGTCTTAGTCTCCACCGAGCGGCGCCGATCGCCTGTCGCTGGCGGGATCCGAGGACACCGTAGGCAACCACAATTGCCTGTTTTAAGAAATTTCATTCGATGGCCGATGGATAGACGAGGTAGAGGAATCTGCCGAGTAGAGTCGAATGAATAATTCTAGGACAGAGGGGTGTGGTGGCAGCAACCCTACAGCATTCAATCCGATTACAGAATACAGATATACTCCGTCAATTCCAACCGAGACGCGTAGACGAGCCTCTCGCACGTTTTCCCCAGAGTCTCTTTAGGCTAGTCGCTCTCTCTGTGATCAGCGCTGACTCCGTCACTATATAGGCTCGGTCTGGCCCACCCTTTCTTTCACACTCCTTTCATCTCACTGCCACCCGTCCACCGACTCGGTAGATGGCAGACACAGACACACGCTCGTTACCTTCTTTCTTCGTATCACGCCCTTTGTTATGATCACCATGCTCCCACGCTTTCTTTCTCTGACAGCCCTGGCCCTGGGTCTGGCCGCCGCCACCATGGCCCAATCTCTCCCTCATCGCGATATAATCGAGCAAGCGACCATCGCCCAGCCTTCGCCTCACGCAGTCATTCTTCCCTGTGCGAAGTGCGCTTTCTCGGAAGATCCCAAGTGCTCGGAGGTCGTCGATCGAGACAGCTACCTGGTCTGTTTATCTGGATCTGTAATTCCATCCGTAATGCTAACAACCCCATCAGACAATCACCTTTGCCACGGAAAACAACACCCTCTTCGCCAACCAGGATGTCGTCCTCCCCTCCTCCCTGCCCATGGAGTTCTCGGCTATCCGACACACCGGATCCGGCCTGGACGAGAAAGTCAGGTTGTCGTATGCACTCGACGCGAAACCGATTCCTCGCGAGCCGACCGCCCTCCTGGGAGAGGTGTATCTGCTGAAATTGAAGCTTCTCGATGCGTTCGGTCGACTGGCCAGCGATCATGTCGTGATGGTCGGACTGACCACAACTACAACCACCTCTGGCTCTGGCTCTGGAGTAGGAGCTGAATCCAAGTCTCTCACAATCACCGAACTCACTACTTCCCCTCTCCCCCCTCCTCCTCACCATCACCACCATCCTCGTCCTCATCCCTACGACAACATCAACACCCCTCAATCCTGGCTCCATGCCATCAAAACCACTACGAAAGAATACATCCATCTTCTCGTCTACTCCTACCCTCCTCCTCCTAAGCATCATCACCATTACCAGTACCCCTCCAAATCCACCGATAACGTCAAAGACCCTCACCGCACCATCCCTCCCACCGGGACACACCCTCACCATGACTACCGAAGCCATCACCCCTCGTGGCATGGACACGGTCTTAACAGGAACTTTGGCCGACTGGTCAAGCCGGTCCTTTTGCCTGCTGTGTTTGGCGCCGCGGCGGGCGTGATGACTTGTGTGGTTGGTTTTGTGGTTGGGAGGGTTGTTGTGGCGGTGTATCGGTGCGTGAGGGGTGGGTTGGCTAAACGGAGATCTAAGGGTGAGGGAATAGGTATGGCTATGAGGATGGGTATGGATATGGGGAATGGGAGGATGGTTAGGGTTCCGGTTGTTTTGAGGGATTGTGATGGGAATTGGAATGAGGATGGTGATGAGGTTGAGAGGGAGAGTTTGTTGAGGGAGTATGTTATTAAGGATGAGGATGTGAGATGGAGGGTTTAGGGATTGAGTTGAGTTGAGTTACGTTCGGTTTGTTTGGTTCAGATGGCGAGATTGATGGATGGATGGATGGATGGATGGAAGTATGAGCAGGTAACGCGAGTCAGCCATTCCTTAAAAAATCAATCATGCTGTCTGCAGATAACTTCCGTACTGTAGTTACACATGTCCATCCCACGCATACCGATCCCACAACCAAATTCCCCTCCAATGAAAATACACAGCACAAGTACAACCCAAGTCTCAAACGTGAAGGTAAAAAAAAAAAAAAACTCAAGACAAAAAAATCAAGAAGACCCCCCACCGCTCCCCATCTTCCCAAGAACCCCCACCACCCTCTCCTCATCCATCTCCCCCTCCCTCCCTAACAACCACCCCATATTCCTCACCACATCCACCAAAAACCGCACCGACTGCTTCAGGCGCGGGAAATAATAAAAGAATCCATGGGGCATGCCCCCGTAGACATCTACCCTCGTCTGCGCCCCCATCTCCCTCGCCACAGCCTCATACACAAGCCCGTCGTCACGGAGCGGATCCATCCCTGCAACTTGGACATAGAGCGCTGGTAGCGCGGGGAATGTGCATAGGTCCATGAACGGCGAATAGACCCCGCTCATGGGGTCCACGTGCAGTAGGCTCTGGAGATAGACGAGATCCTGGAAGGAGAGGCAGGGCGCGTCTGCGTTCTGGGCTCGTGAGATCCAAGAGCTAAGGGCTTCTTCGGGGATGGAGGAGCCGTTTTCGTTGGTTGTGGGCGGGATCGCAGTCCAGAGGCCGGTTATGGGCGACGCGAGCGGGCTAAGAATTGATCGGTGGGTTACTGAGATCGCGAGGTTTCCGCCGGCGGAGACGCCGCCCACGATGAAGCCGAGAGTGAGGTTTGCGCCGAGCAGGGCGGCGTTGGTGGGGGAGCTGAGCCAGCGGATTCCGTCCCATGCGTCGTTTTGGGCGGTTGGGAAGGGGTGTTCGGGGGCGAGGCGGTAGCTCATCGATGCCACGGTTACCTTGTAGAGGGTTGCGAAGACGCGCGCGAAGATGGCCATTTGGAGGTTTGAGCCGACGACGAAACCGCCGCCGTGGAAGAGGGCGATTAGGGGGGTGAGTTCTTGTTCTGAGCGGTCTGAATCTGTATCATGCTGTGCATTTTCATCTTCTTTCGAGGTCGAGGTCGAGGCAACGTTGGTATCCTTAGCGGGTCTACAGATTCGAATCATGCTTTCGGTGCCATCGCTCATAGGGATCTTGATTACGGTCTCGTTGATCCCAAGCGACGGCAGGGCGTTGAAAGACGCTGTTTCGAGTTTCTCAGCCTGCGCGCGCAGCTGCATGATTGGAGTGTTGACATAGTTGGATTTGACAACCGGGTTGGCTTGGAGATACTGTGGGTAGTTAGTTGTCTCTGACTTTTTCTTGTGTATAGTGGGCTGTTGGAGTGGGTGGTTGCTGGGGGGTGGAGGGTTTTGGATGGAGGGGAGACAAACGAGGTCCAGTTCGGGGTCGATATTGCCCCAGGAAAGGAGGGAGTTGATGCTTGTAAGTTGCATTTTGGGAGGAAGTTGGGATGCTGGATAGATAGGATAAAGAATGGAGTAGAAGAGGAGTAGGTGATTAGGAAGGAAGAGGAAGCGGTTAAGAAGGGATATGAACAGGTGATATAGTGAGAAGTTGTCTGGGTGAAGCCAGTGAAAATTTTTCATCTTCAGCAGTGAATGAGAAGTGAATGCTCAGGTTCTTGTTGGTTGAGCAGGAAATTGTTGGCATTAGTGAATGCTTACATCTACCCCTCCTACTTATCAGCGAATGTATCTAGATTGGGGTACAATGACTAGGTTTGTATGTAGGTATGTCATAGTTTGAGATAGGTTCTAATACAACAGATAGCAATGAATTTGGAAATTGACAATTGTAAGTTAACCTGCTATAGCTTCAGTCTAATATAATATGATCTGCTAACTTGTCCCTCAAGAGTATGTTTTGCAGAGTTGTTATCAAAACCTTAGGCTTCTCCTGTTCTCTGTAAATTGTTACTTTATCTTTTTTCTCTGCTACAAAACTCAGAGATATGTTATATCAGAACTTTCCTCAAACCGAAGCAAAATCTTTAAAGAGGGGAAACCGTTGGTCGTCCCTACGAGTACAAAAGTAGCAGGACAAGCAATGAGCTGATGACAAACCAAGCCAGGTGACCTGCATGGCACCGATACGGATGTTTTGGATGCCTGAGGTGCAAGGCAGTCTTGTTTGCTTGCCCCTCCATGGCATGTTGTGTATATACGCTATACCAAGGGACATTTCTTCCTCCTTGAAAATCATCTTCATGGCTATCTTATTATGCTTATTATGTTGTATTCATTCCTTCGAATCGCAGGGAGTCTTCTGTAGACGTTCTAGGCGCCCGGGACCACCGCAGTGGTCAAAAACAATGAAAAGAATGAGCTAGGAATGTCTCAATCAAAAGACTGGTTGAATTGATTGATGTAGGAAGAATCGAGGTCTTCCATGGTGTTGCCTTCATAGGGGTAAGCAAACGGCGAAATGCTTGGCAGCTTGCCTCAGGCATTCAAACGCCAGCCTACAATTTAGGGGCTTGAACATCGCAGATCCAATTGGTCTGGGATTTGGGCAAACGATTATCATCTGGAAGCCTTATGCTTCATGGAGTGATCTTTCTACTGCAGTCCAAGGCATACCATATTACCCTCCGATAGAGTACAATGAAGGATTTATATGACCGCTCGGTATGATGCCTTAGGCATCACCGAAGGCAACCAGGCATCTGACGCCTCGGTGAGCTATTCAAAAGGCCTACACCTCACCGGCCCCTCCACCTCCTTTATATATTCATTCATGGGTTATATGGTTGAGCTCAAGCAGTCAATATCGTCAATTTAGTCCTACGTCGTGGCCCTGAACCTACGTTTTCTACAATAAATTCACCTCATGACATACCATCGAATTCTACTAGGCATTTACCTACGGTCTAAGTTAAAGCCCCACGAAGATTAAAAAATAGCAAACCCTTTCTCAAACAAGAATCCTCCCCTCTTACGGAGTATAAATATCACAGAACTACTGAATCCATCGATCATCCTCTCTAAACGCGATCGTGATCTCAACTCCACCTGACCAACCAGATAAACAACCGCTCAAACCGAGACGCAAGGAACGCAACAACAAACCCAAACCCATCCGTCTATACTTAGAGCACCATCTAGACTGCCTCCGACCATGCGAACACCCTTCCCCAAATAACCAAACCCCTCATCAACTTTAAGCTTTAAGCAGACCTTAACCCAGTTCCCTGTTTCTACTGCAGACTGCAGAGAAGCACCGAGCAGAGCATAACTAGCAGCGCAGAATATGCACCGAAGCACGAACTACAGTACATGTACATATCCTACCTAAATACATGTTTCAGATTTAGGCATAGATAGGTAGTCCCTTGTAGAGGCAATCATGGATCTTTCACTACTCCATATGAGGTCTGTTTCCCAATAACTTGAAACATTCATCTTCATGGAAATAGGATCTACAGGACTAGTGGAATGCGTCCATGTTGGGCTGAACTTGAGACATGAGACATTGCGGAGTCGGAGTAGATATCTCGTATGAAGTGTATGGAACGTGAGGGAGGGAGGGAGGGATGGTTTGCTTTGTTTTATTGGCTCGCGTTGGATTTGAAGGGATTGTGATCTGTGTGGTGATGTAGCCGGATTGGTTATCCCTTGCGTTGGGGTTGAGGTGGGTGGAGTGGATATCCCTTTTTGTTCTGGTGAGTACTCCGGAGTGCAGAGTATCGGAGTATGGAGATGGAGTGTGTTTGATGGGAGGGGTGAGTGGTATTGTGCAGTTGGTAAATTGATTAGGTTCTAGGCATTAGAGGTGAGTAGAGATGGTGTTTTAGTAAATAGAAGGAGTCTTGCAGGAAAGGGTCAGTCTTGCAGGTGGAAGTGCCAAGAAGTGGGATATAGTTGTCGGATCAAAAATGGGATGGGTAAACAAGCGAGCCAAGTCTGTTAAACAATGATTGGCAAACTCAGGAAATAATTGTTTCATCTGCGAGATCAGATCATACACAATAGAGATGTCAATCCACTTCAACACATTAATTGAAACAACCGAACATGTATGTATGTTAATTTCCTGGCTGCAATCTGATAGCCATTTATTCTGATATCACAGTCGCAGTCAACCCCATAATAATTCTGTCTTATACCCAGGACCCCTTATGACGTCTGTTTTTATATGTTGCAACTTGCAAGTATGTATGTCTCGCGATCTAATTGGATTCCTAGACTCTTTGCTAGTCTGGACAAAGTCGGTACGTCATCAACTCTCGCTGTGAAGCTCCCTGCAAAAAGGAAATCACAGGGAATCTGTAGATAGAATCCCATGTTCCATACCCATGTAAACAACCAAGCCAAGCAAGTGGGGGAGCGGAGAACACCCCAAGCCACCGTCCTCGTAGGGCAGAGTTGAGGTATTCGACAAATCAAATCGACACCTTGTTGCTCGTTGTGAATCCCGTCGGCCCCTAAGTTGTGGTCATCAGACAACTACCGGGCTACGTAGTGCTGTGTAGCCCAGTGCCAGCATCCATCAAGGTTTATTCCGTCGGCTAGGCGATGTGATGTAACTGCTATGTTAAGAACAGAGGACACCACATCATCCAGATCCAGGATTCTCGCAGGACATCAACACCCCATTCCAGGATTTTTCCCCGCCGAGTGCCCTGTGCATGCGCTAGCTACAGCTTGTTGATGTGCGCCAAGACACCTGCGAGGTGTGACAGGGGCGAATTTCCACCAGCCTTCGATGGAGTATCAGAACTAGGCAGAATGATTCTTCGGATGGCATCCCGGGGTGAGGGAGCCAGACAACGATGTCAGAGCTCAGAACCTATTAATGGGTGGACAACCTGATTAACTTGAGAGTTCAGACTTGATAGGAGATCAAGAAAGAAGAAAAAAATCGGGGATCGCCGCCAACTGATGACGTCTCTGGTTGCCCATCGGAGTGCGACCGGTTGTCAGGAATGGTAATGATCGTCGCACCGCCACAGATCAGGCAAGTCGAACGGCGCTGCGTTAGTGTCCTCTGATCTACTCACTTTGCTGCGGCTAGGAAATCCGCTAGCCATCGCGTCTGGACTCGTCTGCCCTACTCCCTTGGGCAGTCCCATCCCCTACATACCAGACATGGTCTGCAAATTGCAGGGGCTGGGAATCCTCACCTCGAGGGCGGTGTATTTGGACTCTGTCCCACGTCGTGCAACACTGTGTCACCTCTCGTGAAGAACAGGACCATTATGTAATGAGATGGAAAAATCTGAACACACGGAAAAGTCGAGGTGGGTGGCGGGAATGTAGACACTAGAGACTAGCCCAGTGGAAATATCTGTGGCTGGCACGGCAGAGTTCAGCCACCCGAGCGGTGGCCTTTTCTCTTCTTTGGGCGGCAGTCGATGCGTCATGGACCTCCCACTGCCTGCTGTTTGCTGTCTGTGGCCTGCACATTGTCACACTGTCACTTCGTCTTGTTAGCATTTCCCCTCCCACTGTCTTATTCCGACTATGGCATCCTCCATCCATCCATCCCCCATCGAGACCTTCTGCCTCGGCCTCCTTTTCCGCAGATCGGACATCTCAACTGCACTAAACAGTCACACCCACGGATATCCCCAACTACTGGGTACCAGGACAGCGATCTCAAGCCCACCAAAACTATCATCCACTAGCCCCAATAAAGCCAATTAAGCCCGTGGGGGAGCCAAGCCTTTCCGCCTATCACCGCACCCATGCAAGGTCGCCGGTGGATCGTCATGGAGTCCGCGCGGCTGGGCCGATAGGGTCAATGGGTCCTGAAACCCTGGGATCCATCCGAGCAGAGCTTTTGTCTTTTGACCTTGCAGGCTAAGATGATGGAGGAAATGATCGATGACTTCACTGGGCATTGGAACCTGGCCCGTGGCGTTTCCCTTCCCTTCCTCGCCCAGTGAGCCACGTTGACTGGCCTGGCCGGGTACCAGAGCTTGGAAACTCTGCCCGCGAGCCAGTGACGATCGCCATTTCCTAGGAAAATTGGAGACAGCAGAGAAGGACAAAAAAATAAAGAAAAGAAGAAAAAAAAATAAAACCTAAACAGACTCAGCCATGGAATCACCGAGAGCTTGGTTTGTTCGCCGACAGGGTCTTGGACTGCTGATTTCCACATTGGTTCCTGCCCTTTTTAAATCCTGCCTCTCCCCCCGACGATCCTATCCAACCTTCTACTTTTTTCTTCTTCTCCAGACTCCATCCATCTGCTTTCTGCTCGCCTCTCTCGTCCAGTCCCAGCCCGGATTAAATCATATTGACATCACCCAACCCTCATCTTACACGCGTTCAACCTTACCACAAACATCATGAAGACCTTCTCGCTCTCCATGGCTCTGCTGGCCGCCGCCAGCATGGTCACCGCCGAAATCTCGGTCGGCCAGTGCGCGGTATGTTGACGTGTAGACCTCATGTCGATCAATGTCCTAATCCTTTCTTCTAGCGTATGTGCATTAGCAACATGAACAACAAGGCCTCCGAACTGGGCTGCAAGTCTGGTGACCTGGAGTGCCTTTGCAATGCCGACGACTACAAGTTCGGTATCCGCGACTGCACCGCCCAGGCCTGCCCTGACGATGACTCTAACGCTGTCGTCAACATTGCTCTGAACGCCTGCCCCGACTCCAGTATGTCTCCTGTTTATATGGTTGCTCGAGAGTGGGAATTGACTTTGTGATTAGGCTCTGCTGGCTCCTCCGGCTCCTCCTCCGGAACCTCCACTGGCACTGCTTCCGACAGCACTGCTACCGGTACCAAGTCTGGCGGTGCCGGCGCCGGCGCGACTGGCACTGATGCTTCTGGTACTGCTACTGGCACCGCTACCGGCACTGGTGCTACCGGCACTGGCGCTACTGGAACCGGTGCTACTGGAACCGGTGCTACCGGTACTGGAGCTACTGGCTCTGGCACCGCTACTGGCACCGCTACTGGCACCGCTACTGGCACGAACTCCGGCTCTGTCACCGGCTCTAGCACCGGCGCTTCTTCCACTGCCACCGGCAGCTCCCAGACTGTAAGCTTTCCTCAGCCTGTGATGTTATACTCATACTAATGATCCCAGGTGTCCAACACCACTGGCACCAACGCCAGCGGTACTACTATGACCACTGCCACCAGCACTAGCGGCTCCGGCGACGACAACAACGGCTCCGGCTCAGGCTCCAGCTCTACTGGTGGCTCCGACTCCGGCTCCGGCTCCGGCACTTCCACCGAGACTGCTCCCTCCAGCTCTTCGACCGACTCCGGCGCTGCTCGCAACGTCATCAGCGGCGGTGCCCTTGGCGCTCTGGGCTTGGCTGCTCTCCTCGTCCTTTAAATGCTTTAATGACCGAATTTCCTTGGGACACGGAAACGGCGTTTAATGAGTCAAGCCACTACGTGCATGTTTTGTTATCCACGGTTGATGAACTACGCGGATGGAATACCTTTTCCTTGTACTGTATATGCTAATTACGGGTCATGGTATAATGACAAGTAGATAATAGTGCGACTTGGCCGGGGCTAAGTCAGCACGGACTAATGAGCATCTAATTTATATTTTTGTTCTAGCTTGGAGAAGAGTGTAGCAATGTAATTATAGATGTAAAGCTTCCGGTCGGTACGACGAGAAGACTTGTTGTACATTAGTATATCCGTGTTACACAACTTCGAACTCCTCCCATGGGTAACTAACACTTGATAACACCTGATGCTGGAGAGTCAAACGTCGATTTTGTCTCTCAGTTACCCATCGTGCTTCCTACAGTGCAGTATTCGCTATATGTGTTCCTGCATAGATTCATCGTGGAATCACAATCTTATCTCTTGCGTATTCTATTTTTACGCCTAGATCATGCATATATATATATCACCTTGAATCTGAGTTTCCCCAAAGCACTTTTGTTTATCTCGAATGCTGCAAGCCAAGACTGGGAAAAAAATATTTTGCGTTGACTGACCAACATATATCTTTCCGGGGATTAGGCATTGCAGTGCTTGCGCTGTTCTTATGCGTTGTTCATACTAATGATAGAAATTTATAAATTTTCAACACTTCTATCCCCGTGTTTAGACTGTCTAGATTAGATTTTAGGAGTATCAATGATTCGAGCCTACTGCTGAATAATTGACAATCAGAGATTTGCTTGCACCTGAACTAGTCTCCTTTTGTCCACAGACCCTGCCTGCCTGGAGACGGAGTTCCGATTCCGATACGAGGCTCATTTCCCTGCCTCAGAGGGAAGGCTGCGACTTACTGCATCCGGCTAGATCGGCGATGAACTAAGTTTGCTTGGGGCGAATTCCTGGGGCGGAAGGGAAAACAGGGGAAATTTACGTGAATCTGACAAATAATTCACAATGAATGAGAACGTAGGTAGTACCGAGCACAATAGACGAAAAGCTAAGAATCAAGACGATGGATGAGGTCACGGACCGGCGATAAGACCAAACCGCCCGTCGCTGCCTGCGCTAAGCCGCGTTGCTGCCTCGCCCGCCCGCCTACTAAATCTGGTCATCTCGCCTCGTCCTCCTTTATCGTCTCTCTTCGTCCATCCAACTACCGTCTCTCCCTTCTCTTTCATCACTACATTTATCACCGACCACATTATCGTGCTATATTATCATCGTATTACGTTCTTATATTGACTATATCGCCATGGTCGCCCACTCGTTCGTCCGAAGGGGCATGGAGCTCATCCAAGAGCAGGCCGGTAACCCCGACAGGCCGTCCATCGAATTCCAAGGCTGGCAGGCCGGCCTGCTTTGCTTCACCGTCATCGCTTTCATCTTCTCTGTCCTAGCGGTAAGTCTCGACGGTTTGTCACTGATGAATCCCGGCTAATGGTTACAGGTGGAATACACCTACGGAATGCTCGTCCCGACGCTGGCTGCCATCGAGGACTCGAACCCCGACATCTTTGTTCGTATCGATACCGACCAGGACCCGACCAAGCCCATCGACCCTGCCGACGCGGACGCCGAGATTGTCGTGACTCCCCCTCGCCCCATCACCAGCAAGCTGCGCACGACCGTTAAGCACCTGCGCGCCCGCGCCGGCTTCTGGTCTCGGTTCCGTGGCTTCGCCATGTTCGTCGTGATGTTCAACGCCCAGGGTATTCTCGGTTCGATGATCCCCGTGTCCATGTCCAACTTCTTCGGCCAGTTCATCGTCCACATGATCGTTGGTATTCTGCTCGCCAACCTGCAGCTCGCCTGGATCCACATTGTCATCTCCGAGCCCTCCCCCAAGCGCTTCTACCAGCGCATTCCCGGATACAAGAGCTGGGTCAACATTGCGCCCGTGTATGCCTTTGAGCAGGCGGTTGTTGCCGGTGCCTTCTTCCTGCCTTTAATGATCGGTTCGTCCATCCCGTCGATCCGTGTTTGGCCCACGACCGAAGCCGACTTGAACCTTGACACTGCCGGCCGGGTGGCTGGTGCCTTCACCATCCCGTGGCTGTTCGCCCTGCTGGTCTCGATCCCGGCTCGGGCGGTCTTCATCCGCGTGGCGGCGTCCATGCTGCCCGAGGAGGATGAGGCCATCGTGCCTTTCGACCGGTCGTTCGGCGGAAAGGTGGTGCCGGCCATCCTGGGCGGTAGCGGCAAGCTCAGCATCGCGGACGCCTGGAAGACCTTTGACGGCGCTGCTCGGGCCCGCTACTACAAGGCGATCTTCAAGGCCGTTGCCATCCAGGTGGCCATTGTTACCTTGTTTACCCTGGTGCTTGTTGGTCAGACCTACATGTTCAAGGACAGCCTGAAGGTTGTCTCTCGTGGACTCTCTGCTTAGGGTTGTCTTTTGGTGTGAGTGTTGTACGCAAGTGGGGTTTCCTTACCCCTATGACGCCACCAAATTGATGCATCACCTGATCTCATAGCCATTTTGTCGCATGTCTGATGTATGCTTGGATAGTGTGAATAATACCATGGGAATAGTCTAGTCAATACGAATGTCCATTCTTTTCTGCTGCTTGTGTCCTTTCGCTAGTTGAACACCATCCAGTCATCAAATGGCCGTAAGAGGCTAGTCCGAGTGCCTGAGGAGCGCCCCGCCCTCCCCCACTTGGCGAACTCACCGCCCGGACGTGCCGCCCTGCCCTCTTAAACAGCAATCTTTGTCCCCCACTTTCTCCTCAACTCGTCCTTAGGATATAACCTTCTTCTGTTCTTCCCACTGCTTCGCACTGTATGGGTCTATAACACCCGGTGAACTCTGACACCTGATCTCTCTTGTATATCCTCACCGACCCGACCCCGACCCCCTCATCCGCCACCGAACCGTCTCTCCTAACTCCGAGAACAGCCCCTCACCAAACCACCATGGCTACCACCGCCGCAGGTCGTATGCTGTCCCGACAGCTGCAACAGATGCAATCCGAGGACCACACATGGTGCAGCTGCGGTCTGGTCGATAATAATGTCTTCGAATGGGAGGTTATGCTTATGATTTCGGATGACGTGAAGCTTTATGGCGGTGAGTTTCTAGATGTGGTTCTGGATTGATGGATGGACGGGTTGGAGGGGTTGGATGGGGAAGATTTGCAAGACATGACAGGACGGAATTAGATAAGATATGTGGCTGATAGTAGGGGTATATTCCTACTTTCTAGGTGGCTTCTTTCGGGCTCGTCTTTCTTTTCCCCCGGAGTATCCTCATATGCCGCCGAAGATGAAATTCGAACCGCCGCTTTTTCATCCCAATAGTACGTTTTTTCTTACCCCGTACCTGCCTTTCTGATTGGTTATCTGTGCCCGTGTTCGATTTGTTTGGATGATATTGGGATATGATTATGCATGACGTGATGGATACGGACATGGACATGGACACAGATACAGATACAGCAGACACTAACACATCTACCTACCAGTCTACACCAGCGGCGAAGTCTGCATTTCCATCCTGCATCCCCCCGAGGAAGACAAGTACGGCTACGAATCCGCCTCGGAGCGCTGGAGTCCCGTGCAAACGCCCGAGACGATCCTCCTATCGGTCATTTCGATGCTGTCGAGCCCCAACGACGAGAGTCCCGCTAACGTGGAGGCTGCAAGGCTATGGAGGGAGGATCCGAAGGAGTTTAAGAAGCAGGTGAGGAAGTGTGTAAGGGAGAGTATGGGGGAGGAGTAACCAGGTTCCTCTTTGCTGTGCTGGGCTGGGGGTGTTGGGTTGGTTGTGTTATGGTTTTTTTTTATTAGTACATTTGGCTTTGAGTGCGTTGATGGCGCGTCGCGTTTATTTGATTTGTGTATCTTTTAATTTTTGGTGTTGCATTTTGAGGTCGTTAGATCTTTGGATTTTTCTTTTCGTTTCGTTTCTTTTCTTGTTATTTTTTCATGACTATCTGTTACTTTCGGTGGGAGTTCATCTTTGTGCATTGCCGTTTGCGGTTGGTTTATGGATAACATATATGATTGTTTGGACTGCGGTGTTATTTTTGCATTTTAAATACTATTTATTGCCTGTGAATCTTGGTTCTGAAGGTATGTAGAAGTTCGTATACTTCAAGTATTTCGATGCTTAGTTACAGGCAATGGTCATTAGAGAAAAGGGTAAACGAAACGAAGTATAACAGTATTGGTAATGCTGGCTGGGTGATATCAATTGCCCACCGCTTCATTTCCATAAATCAAGGTCTATATAGGTATAGTATTCTCTATCGTCCATCTCTGTCATACAGTTTTCATACCTATAGTATGAGTATATACTAGGTAAGGTGGTAATAGTAACCTCATGCCTTTTTCGAAGCACCCTTTCGCAACGAAGGAAGGTATAGACCCGGGTGGAAGGCTGTGAGTGTGATGCAGGCGATAGCAATCATCCTGTTTTTGGGTCATTATGTCTGTGTCTGTGGATTGTAAGGGGGAATGGAGGATACTTACATCCCATCGAGGACTAGGAATTCGTCCTCGCGCTGCATCAGCGGGTTGCCCCATCCGCCGGCCATTTCGGGGATTCTGGTTGTTTTTAGCTTTGTTCTGAGCTCTTGAGTCTCTGTGGGTTGAAGTTGAGGAGAGGGGGTTGGTGTGTGTGTGTGTGTCCATGCAGATATAGATAGGGAGAGAGGGAGAGAGGGAGAGAGGGAGAGGTCATACCGATAAATGCACCGAATCAACACCGTCACATACGCCACTATCTCCACCACCACGACAATCTTCAACTGTTTCGCCGTGACGCCCTCGCCAGCCCCAGCAGCTACATCCTCTTGCACGGGAACCCCATTCCCATCCGTGCCTTCAACCCCAGTCTCCCCGCCACGCATCTCATCCAATCTCACCATCTTCTCACCCCCCGACGCCGCCGCAGCTGCAGAAAACCCTCCTCCGCGTCTAAACACCCTCGCGAAAAAGTCCACCGCGAGCACCCCACACACCGCCATCGTCACGACCTGAAACACGATCCCCGCTATGATGATATTATTCCCCGTACTCGTCATATCGAGATCATCTTCCGCAGACGCAGCCACGCCACCACCCGCTGCCTGCAGGAATAGAGAACCAACATCACATCCAATAAATATCCACGTGAACAGCCGCGGCTTTAGTTTTGAGTGCGAGCTCCCCAGGTTCAGGATGATGTGCTTTAGGGTGAGATAGATCCCTGCGGCGATGAAACTGGGCGCCAGCACTAGTGCCACGATTTGGAGTTTAAAGGCCCCCGCGTCCCATGGGTTGCTGTGCATTAGGATTCGGCCGATGTAGCCGGCCATTTCAAGGAATGTGCCGATTAGTAAGGCGATGGCGAATGTCCAGGATTTGAAGCGCAGGCTGAAGTAGATTTGGGTGAGGCCGCAGAGGGCGAAGATTATGGTGAAGAAGATATTGCCGCCGAGGTTGGGGTAGTAGCCGTATGTTGTTGCGGTGACGGGGCAGGAGGGGGTGACGGAGGTGCAGGTTTGGGAGCTCATTTTGAGGGGAGGTTGGGGATGTTGGTTGAAGTTGAGGAGAGAGAGAGTGGAGGATGGCGATTGAGTAGTATATAATTTGAGGTCAAGAGGGACAGGGGAAAATGACAATGTCGCTATGTAGAGCAGACAATCTAAAGACGAATGAAAGACAGAAAAAATCCCCGAAAGAACGAGGTCCTGCAAACCGTTATATCAATCAATCAACCAACATGCCAGCTCCAGGATGACACGACCGAAGGAAACAAAGACGAAGACGAAGACGACGAAAGAAAAAGAGAAAGCGAAAACCACCGCCTCCTTCAGCCCGATATGTAAGCTACCCAGCTCCCCCGGTAGTATTCCGTAATACGGAGTCCGGTAGGCAGCTTAGACTCCATATTATGATCCCGATCTAACCAGTCAAACCGGACTCTGTCAGGACCGTGCCAGCCTTGGCATTTGCCTAATTAGTGCGAAGGCAAAGGCGAGAGCGAAAACGAGAGCGAGAGCGAGAAGCCCACCAGTCAGCGTTGTCAGAAAGATCGGGATCGGGTCTGGAATGATGGATGATCCACTGCCATGTGGGGCGCCACGGTCCCGGATTGCGGTCTGAGCCGTTGCATTTGCAGCCATAAATTCCCGAGATGGAGGTTATCGCATGCGAGATCTTCCAAGATCGGGCTGTGAGGTCGGCGTTAAGCCAGATGCTTTAGATGGAGGATGTACGCTTGTAGATGCATTTGACTTTACTTTGGAGGCTGTATCTGTGCAATGCCAAGGGTTGGTCGGATTCGTTTCGGATTGTACGCTCTATACATGGGGCTAAAGGCAGTTATGATGCGTTAACGCCAGTGGAAGGTAGACAAAGTAAGCGAAACCGAGAACGAGGTCTGTCAGTTACCATCGCTGATTGTAACATTGTAGATGCAGTCGCTATATTTACACTTCAAGTAATATTGATGCCTTAGTTGCGTGTTACACTGGGTAAGTTATTCGTAGAGAATGGGGTTCTCAGGAATCGCAGTCAAACTCAGATGTTGCTGGCTTTTGATTTTGAGACTAAATGGCGGTATCCTTGGGAATGTTCAAATTGAGTTTAATTCGTTCATGATGAAACTTTCTAGAAGATGGAGTTCGAGCATAAATATCACGGCTACCTAATGAACCGTTCTCCACAACATACTATTTCCACCATGAACCCTATGTCTTAATGCACTACATGGCTCTGATCAGAATCGATCATGTGCTAATTTTAGATGTATTTAAACCATTCTTCCCTGGCTAAGCAGCCCAAGCTAAGGACTAACCGCAGTTGGACTCAGGTACTTGAATCTGTCAATGTGGAGTGTTCACGGAGCTGTCTTGACAAGTATTTCATATATTAATATTTATTATTAGTTTATTAATATTGAACATGACAAGTTTTTATCCTAGAAAACTTATATCTAATGAATATATGAGTTTTAACAAGTTATTATTTACAAAATTACAATTTGTAAAAAATTTAACTTGCATCGGGAGCACGGAGTACGGCTAGAACGTGATCTGCACTAGGCGTTAACTATAAGGCCTAGTATTCAAGAAACTTTGGTCCAATCATAAATAGTTCAGTTAATTATACCTTCTCAGGGCTAATCTACGCTGCGTACTTCATACTTCACTGCTGCCAAGAAAATGACAGAAGTGGCAGCCTGTCATTGTCGGCCCAGATGTTACACTCGAGTCGCCGAGCTTCTCAATTCTGCACGGTATGAACAACGTTGCCCAGAGCAATCTCGTAGATATTTACAAGGTACAATTTACATCGAGGCTCAGCCTCGCGTGTTGGTTGTTGATTTAGAGATAGCACGTGACGCTCCCCACGTGTCTCCCCACGCGGCTGTGATTTTCTCCGTCTTTTAACGTCATTCATCGCCAATTATGTCTCCTTGTCCCCTGACCGACTGTGCTACCTGCACCGAGGAGTAATCGGTCATTCGGGATGGCGCCGCGAAGGGCGCATACCAAGTCGCGCAATGGATGCGATCAATGCAAGAAGCGACGCGTGAAGGTAGATGGCCTGGAAACACCTTCCTCTCTCGCACGGATCTAACATGTCTAGTGTGACGAGCGAGGCCCACCGTGCTCAAACTGTATCTCGCGTGAACTGCACTGTACGTATACGAAGACGTCAGCCGCCCGCACCGTCGCCAATTCCTCTTCCGCCAGTCCCGCCCCCGTACCGCACGCCGCGCATCGGCACCCCGAAGCGGCCAGCTATGCCTTCACGGCCGCCGGCACCACCAGTCCGCCTAATTTCTCGCGTAAAAAAGAGCTCGAATTGATGCATAAGTACTCGACCGAGACCTACCAGAGCCTCAGTAATGAACCCGCCTATTACCAGGTCTGGCAGATGTTTTTGCCGCGCAAGGCTCTGGAATTCGACTTTCTGATGAACGGAATCCTGGCCGTCGCTTCGCTGCACACGGCCGCGTCGATCGACTCGTCAGAGGCCCTGTCCTACATCGATTCCGCTCTCGAGTATCATAACCAGGCGTCGGCGCCTTATCGCCAGGCCATCGATAATATTAGCCCAATCAACTGCGATGCCGTGTTCGCGCACGCCATCATCACCACTGTCATCGGCATCGCCCTCCCCCAGCTGACAGCCGACCGCATCAAAAGCACCACCATGACCGAGAACATTTTCGTCGTGTTCGAACTCCTCCAGGGTGTCAGAAACATCCACAAGATCAGCCGTGATTGGCTGCAAACCCCCTTTTTCACTTCTCGTCACGGCTTCTTCGATGTCCCGTACGCTGCGCTGGACGCGGATGTAGAATCCTCGTTTACGCAATTAACCGCAACGAATGATCTCATGCTGGAAAAAGCAGACCCTGATCAACATCGCATTATGAATGATGCGATTGAACTGCTCCGTCGCTGTTATCGGCGCTTTGCTCATGCGCATGACGCCGCGTCGGTCATTTCGTGGCTTTCGTCGGTTGATAAGGAGTTCGTGCATGCGTTAAGAGGTCGTCCACCGATTTCATTGTTGGTGCTGATGCACTGGGCTGTCCTGTTGGATGAACTCGATGGGGAATTTTGGTGGGCTCGCAATTCGGGCAGTTCTCTGGGGGCGGAGTTGCTGAGGGATTTGAGGTCGGGTGATCCGAGATTAGAGGGGGCGTGGACTTGGCCGAAGGAGAAGATGAGTATTTAATCGGGGAGGTTGTGGGATTATAGCACCTTTTCAGGTGGGTCATACTGATGTAGGTTGGTCTGTGTTTTTGGGTTGGAGTTGAGTCGGATGCTTACGATAATGCAGACAGTTTAGCAGACAGACGCTCCTACGTGGAGTCATATTTCGGGCATACTCTAAGGCGCTGGAGTGATGCCGTCGCAGATGTCAGTCGACCATCGTCCGTCTTCGTGATGAGAGGAATTACCCATGAAGGGGAGCTGTACTGTACTTCCCTCTGATCCAGTTTGGTATCAGATAACCTTTGGCCCAAGAAGTTACATCTATTTTGATTTTCATTGTGTTCATGTGCCCTTAAATAGCGATTTGGCCTCAAAATATTCACTTCTGACGATGGAAGGGACATTCGCTGCATTGCACCTCCATTTAACTGGATTGATAGAGCTGTTTAGATATCTTGTATTTACTATATGTGGGATTGAATGGCGCCTGGTTTGATTTGTGTTTCTCCTGTCCTAGAAAAGTACTCAATTATGTACTAGATACTTAGCTCCTATGGGTGCGGTCTTCTCGGCTCGAATACTACCAATCTGAGGGCTACAGACCATGGATGAAACAATTTGAATTTAGTAGCTGGTTATTGACTAGTAACTAAATTATAATTCATTCTTCGTGATATAAATCATTAATGGTGGACTCAGTAACTTACCGAAATTAAAGGTGGGTAGCCAAGAGGTTCTATTGCTGCGTCATCGGCCGCCGACCAGAGGAACCTTCTCCCAGCCTCGAAATAATACCTATCAAGCCTCTTTCCAGCCATGGTGGCAGGTTTGAGAATTCCCCTGCAATCTGTCGCTGTTTTCCTGGAGACCTCGATAGATAGTACGGTAATGTCGGCTTGAAGGAACCTGCCATCTTACATCATGCGAATAAGAAACTTTTTAGCTCTCTACGGGCTCGGTCCCTGCCTTCCCAAGGCTCTGGCGCTCGATCCGTGGGATCCATGACGCCTTCAACCGAACACCCCAACAATGAACTGTTTAGATATACTTCTGGGAGATGGATGTATGCCAGTTCCTTCCTCGGGGAGCTTGGACCTACGCTGACGATTGCAGCTTCAACGAAAATATACGGCTGTCGGAACGCTACCTCAAGTTTGATGTGTCTGCCCTCTAAAACGCCATTGCCGTTGCGTCCGGTCGAACCCCATCAGACATCGTCTCCTTCTTTAAGATGGCGGAAAGTGGTTTCAATAGGATGTTCCAGGCCAATTTCAGTTACGGGCTGTCTGTTATCGCAAGGTTACCGTATCCGTCCACAGTGCCTGATCATTATACCGTGGCGAGCGAGGCAGCCACTCTGAATTATCTTCGACTGCGTGGATTCCAAACTCCTAAGGTGTATGCGTGGTGCTCGACAAGAACGAACCCGGTCGGCTCTGAGTATATTATCATGGAAAAAATGGATGGGATTCCTCTTGGCGATATATGGTATTCCATGACACCAAAAGAGCAGCACGGGATCATGAAACAGATTGTTGAATGGGAGGCACGACTGACGTCGTTGGAATTTACCGCATTCGGTAGTCTGTACTACAGCAAAGATCTCCAGTCAGAGAATAGGTTTCCGCTGCCTGGTGAGCGCGATGCTGCCTTCTGTGTAGGACCAATAGCACATTATAGCTGGTGGCATGGGGATAGGCGCACATCGGATATTGGTAGGAGCCCGTGTAAGTGGAATTTCCTATGACGAACAACTACCACAACCGCTTCTTGTTGACCCTAACTAGGGTTGTCATCGGTCGACATATTTCGGGCCGTTGATGAACGAGAGCTGGCTTGGACTAAACACTACGCGAAGCCCCGGCAACCCTATGAGCGTCTATATAGGGAGATATACCACTTTACTAACCTTGCTCCTAACGATCACATTAAAAACCTTTGCGATTATCTCTCGCTGGTGTCTTGTCTTGGTTTCAAAGCTGGGACATCCCTGCATCGGCCAGTGTTGCGCCACCCTGACTTTCAGCCAAACAATATTTTTGTATCTAAGAAAAAGGAAATTTTGGGGTTTATTGATTGGCAACATTCCTCCATTCTTCGTTTGGGCCTTGCAGCCGGGATACCGAAACACTTCCAAAACCACGGTGACCCAGAATCAGAAAATCTCAGAGAGCCTCAACTTGATTTTCCACCGAATTACGACACTCTGTCTCATTCTGAGCAGACTTTCGCTCGAGAAAGTTCGAAAACGACTGGTCCATTTCCTTTACGCTGCCTTTACTAAGCGGATGAATGAGAAACATTATGATACGATATTCGACACCTCTACTATACTACGCCAGCGGGTTTTCAAAGGCGCAGGAACGTCTTGGGAAGGTGACTCAGTTACACTGCGGGCCGAGATGATACGCACTATGCAGAACTGGACCGAGTTCTCAGCAATTTCCGGTGTAGATGGAAGCGGAGCGTGCTCTACTTCCCCTGTCGAGTATTCAGAAAAGGTTGTTCGAGACACGCTTGCACTTGATATGCGCCAGAAAGAAGCAGATACTGAGATGGAGCAAATGCGAAAGGCACTGGGCGTCGATGTTTTGGGATGACTACCGAACGATGAATATGATGCTGGGACAGCATTAGCGCGTGAAATGAAGTCCTATATGCTTAAAGTGGCCGATACCTCATCTGAAGTAGCTGCAGTTAAGGATCATTTCCCGTTTGATGACTTTGATGAAAACGCTTGAGGTATGGCAGCTGGATGTTCGTCGACTGTTGATGATATAGACCGGTTATGTTTCTTCCGATCGGTGCCTGGGCAGTGAATATATTGATTGGTTAAGATGTTTCGGCTTATAAGATTTTACTATTACCATAATATTAGATATCCTACTTTAAACTAGAAGACGGCAAACGAGCTGCCCAAAACGGCCGCAATCGACGCCGTTATTGGCCGTCAATCTGCCAGGCCTTCCGCCACGCCCCCTGTACACTTATGTCCACGCAAAGCAAGGAAATGTGCTGCTTAAATATCCGATGTCATAGAAGAAAGGGACTACCTACGTGCAGCTGCCTGCATCCGCCCAACCCGACCTTGAAATTGCAGTGAGACCTAATCTATGCCCAAAGAGGATGGGACCCTGAGAGTTTGCACTGTCCTCACCTGGGTGTTTCAGAATCAGGTGCAATATTCATGGGATGTATAAACCTGTGACGCTTTAATAAGCATGTTGATCACGATCTACAAGAGAACTGCAAGATGGAGGTATTCGGACTCACCGAGACTAGATAGTTTATCTCAATGAAACAAAGCCGTGGCTGATCACTATCGAACCAGCCCAGGTGAAATATAAAGTCCATGAATATAACCCCGGAAGGCGGAGGAAGCCACAGATAATGCAACCCATCATCGGAGTGCATTTATCCTAAAAGGATCCCGGGACCCCTGCATGCAATCTACAGCCTCCGCTTGGCATGAAGCCCCAAGAAATTTGAATGCTTTGACCACAAGTTAGCCCGACTGTTGTGAGGGATGTGGGTAATCTGGTATATTCATATGGAAAGAGATAATATCAAACACGGAAATTGTCCGAGGCACTCGTTAAATGAGTTCAGCGTAAAAGGCGCAGGGAAATAAAATGTACAATATTACGCATTTCTGCTGCCAACCAGAGCATATCAGGAAAATGAATAGTAACGTTCACTTTCGGCGTTGCTTACTAGCAATCAAGCTGTCAGCGAAGATGGGGCAATTTTACCGCCAGGATTCAACACCTTGCCGCTTGCCGTCTAGATCAACTCTGACGGCATTTCATGGCTTCAAGATAAGCCGAATTCAAAGAAGCCACGTAGTCATATTGCACTTTAAATAGCTTCGTTTCGATCGTCTAAATCAAGATGATCAGACCTTCATTGAGCTTCTATTCCGCATACAAATTACTAGGCAATACGAAACATTCATGATCCAATACAAGCTCATATTTTTAACCATAAATTGCCAAGCCGCCGCCAGGTCGTATATCAGGCTCGTTGAGCCGCGAAATTTCACCCCGGACCCACCATACTAGGATTGAACTATAACGAACACTTGGGTAAGGTAATATTTGGAAGTGGATCCACTAGCGGTAGTTATTGCTTCGTGGATTAACTAATACAAAAACGATGCTTCACTTTCCATGTTCTGCACTAGGCGATATTAGGGAATGTTCTTGCGAAAGTGGATCTGAATGGTCTTATCACCTGTGCGTCTTCTCCGTAAACACAAATTTTTGTTCTTTGTTCGACAAGTACCCGCCCCAAGAGTGAAATCGAAAAGTTGCTATTCAGTAATCAACTAATTATACCTGTACGGAGTTTCCCTGGAAAAATCCTTCCATTCGTGTGATGCAAAGACTATTACAAGATGCCGTGTGGGCCTAGAGACAAGCGCCGCTACAGTTACCGATATTAACGCTGTCGAAAAGCTCATCTCAAGGTGTGAATTATCTCTTTATAGCTGCCTAAATTATACTGATATTGTCATATAGTGTGATGGCTCAAGGCCATGTACCGCCTGCAAGCAGAAGGGGATCCCTTTTCACAATATAATTCACTAGTCTAAGCAATGTTTGGTTGTTATCTTGTCGATGTGGCTTGGGCTCTTGCCGAAAGCACTTGAAAGAACATCAGACCTGATCCTGCTCGGAAGTGGCTCGGAGGATTTAGCAGGGAAATCGCAAAAAAGGCTGAGCTTATTCGAAACCCGAAGCAGCCCGTACTTGGCGAAGGAGGAGCTCACTATTTAGGATGGCCTCCGAGGTATAACTGATAGATGTCTCCACAAGCGAAGACCCCTCTTCGTTTCACCTAGGCAGATTATTCTGCCCTTAAGCATAAGCCGCGAATTGTGGGTCCTTGTTACTTATTGGAGCGAGTACTTACAATGGGCCTAGCCTATATGTCTAAAAGGACTTTGGTGATCTGATAGGATCTGGTGCAAGTTACTACTCCACATGTCGTTCAGACTAAAAGTCTTTTACAGGAGTA